AACACGATGCGGTCCCACCACTCTGTGCTTGTTTCCCGGGCCCAGAATCGGCGGTCCACGGCATGAACCTGCCCCAGTAACACCAGGATTTCCACATTGCTGGGGCCTGTGCCTTGTGAGAGGTCCATGTCAATTTCCTCATCACTATCGTCGCCGCGCTGCAATCGCCTCCTCCTCAGCTGGTCCTGGTTTGGCTTTGGCATGTCCAGGAGGCTCTGCATGTTTTCCAGGACAATGCGCGTGGTGTTCATAGTGCTCATAATTGCCGCGGTGATCTGAGCGGGCTCCATGATCCCAGTGCTGGCTATGGCGTCTGGTCTGAAAAAAGGCGCGAAAGTAGTATCTGACGGACCAGGGGAAGAAGGGAGGGAGGGAGAGAGGGAGGGAGGGAGGGGCGAGTGACGACATGGCATACAGGTACAGGGAATTAAAATCAAGAAAGGTGGCTTTGCATCAGGGAGAAACACAAACAACTGTCACACAGAATGCCCCCCCCCCCCCCAAAGATTGAACTCAAAAGCCTGGGTTTAGCAGGAGGAAGGGGGGGAAGCAAATGAATACAGAATAAATCTATTTTTTACATCTTAAGACGACGGTGCAGCATGACTGATAGCCCTTGGCATTTTCTGGGTGCTTGGCAGCAAATACTGGGCGCTTGGCAGTTAGCCTTCAGGTCTATTGCACGATCTGATACCCAGTATGACAACGATGGATACCAGTCGTAATATACTATCTACTGCCCAAAAGGCAAGGGGTTGCTGCTGTGTAGCAATGTTGCCCCATCCTGCGCATACTACGTCTGATAACCATCATCATCAAGGCAAGGGGGCTGGTGCAATGCAGCCCCACGGCTGCCAGCCCCATGTCTGCCAGCACCCAGATAGCCCTCGGCCTCTTCTGGGTGCTTAGCAGACAATATTGGGCACTTGGCAGAAAATAGCATACTACGACTGATAACCATCATTGTCTGCCCGGGTGCCCATGATCGACAGCCACTGCAGTACGATGACGACGGTTACCAGTCGTAATATACCATCTTCTACCAAAAGGCAAGGGGCTGGTGCAATGCAGCCCTACGGCTGCCAGCCCCACAGCTGCCAGCACCCAGATCGCCAATGAAGGCTACCAGTCATGCTGCACCGTCTACCGCCAAAAGGCAGTAAGCTGCTGCTGCTGTTTAGCAATGCAGTCCCACGTTTGCCGGCACCCGGAAGAGATATGGTGACGGTGAGCTGAGCTGAGCGGGCTCAATGCTTGGCGTGGTATGTTGTCTGCACAGGTAACCCAGGTAAAAAGGCGCGAATCTATTGTCTGCCGTTGCTGTGACGGCGGGGGAGGGGCCTGACGCAATGTACCCAGAACCCCTCGCGGCACTGCTTTGCATCATCCGGGCATTGCGATCTCAACCCATAATTCCAATGGGCGCCGGAGGCTCCGGGAACTGTGGGATAGGTACCATAGTGCAATGCGCCGGAAGTCGACGCTAGCCTCGGTACTGTGGACGCAGTCCGCCGACTTCATGCACTTAGAGCATTTTAGGTGGGGACACACACAATCGGCTGCATACAACCGGTTTCTATAAAACCGGCTTCTATAAATCCGACCTAATTCTGTAGTGTAGACATAGCCTAAATGTGGATTTAGAAGCTTATCTTTAGGCACATAGGGAGGGATTTACAAAGATACTTAAGGGACCTAAGCCCCAGACTTAGATGCCTTAAAATTATTTCATTAAGAGTCATGAATTCAGAATTTGTTCACGTTCACTGGTTGTGAAGCAAAGGAGCAGTCAAATAAGGCTTCCCGGGATGAAATTACCTGGCTTTCTTTAAAGAAACAATTTACAGATTTTTCTATCCAAGAATTCAGCTATACTAGGCATATGCTGCAGTCTAGGGAAGCATATGACAAGAAAAAGGAGATTGATTGATTGATTTCTAACTCAAGGAATTAATGTTTCCCATGGTTGGTAACCTATAAGTCATGTTTATTAGGAGTTGATTTTATAAAGTATTTGAAATGACAGTTATTCCAGCGAACATGATTTAAACAATTCCCACCTGCCTGATTCATTAGGAGAAAAATCTGAGATTTCTGAACTTCTTATGTGCAAGATGATACTCTGTAGTGATGCAATTGTTGCCACCAAAATAGCTTTCAAAGACTTTCCAAATACCCTGGAAGTTCTGCAATTTCTGTTTCTTCAAGCTGGGTTCCCATTAATCTAGTTGCCACCAACCGAAGAATAGACGTTGGGCCCAAATTCACGGCTGGTGTAACTCCGTTGATTGCATGGATGAAACTGGTCCCTTTTTGGAGTTTGACCGAAGGAGAATGTGTTGTTCTTACAAGAGCAATGATTTTTGGGAAGCCAGATAGATTTTATTAGCAAAGGGATAAAAAGACAGAAACATATTGCTTTACTCTTGCTGATACACCTGTTAAAAGAATCCTTGCTGTGTTGTACCTTGTAGTTTTGAATGGAACTCATCTGCTTATCTTTTTCTAACAGCAGTGGGTAAAGCCCATAACTGCAAACTGTATGGCTGACAAATTTGTGCAATGCAAGGGACAATGTTCAAAACAATAGAGTGGGAGGGGGAAAAGGGTAGTGAATAAATGGAGTGGTTTTAAATGGGATTAGCAAGGTTCAAAACCAACCTTGTCTATTTCCTCAGAAGTTTTATGGCCACATCTAGAACAGATATCTGTAGTTTGTTATTGTAATGATGTAGGTTTTTTTGTTCTGCTTATTGCCATCTGGTGGCCAATGTGAGAATAGTGATTTACTGTTAGGAGCCCCCAGGCTGTACTGAGTTTGCTGCAGGGCATTGTGGATTATGTGAGGAAGTTTTCCCAAGATTGAGCCTGCTGAGTTTTCTATGTGAACCTGTACTGGAATAAGAGATTTCCTTTTTCAGTTTTAATCTGTTTTGGGTCTCCATATAGTATCAGTTGCTCAACCAAGCAAAGGAGAGCCTTAGTATGTGCAAGCATATATGACCACTTGAGTTGCGACACAAGGATCTGCTGCTTCATGAAAAGTGTGTCTCATGCACTGAAGCATGTAAAGCTATAACGCGACTCCAGTCCAGTGACCTAAATATCCATTCCAGAGTTTGTGACTGCAGTGGAGAGAACTCCAAGTTAAAAGCCAAGGAAATGCAGAATGTGAGAGAGCAGGGAAGGCAGAATGCAGCAACTCATTCTGTCTAGGTATTTGTGTGAGCCATGTCAGCATAATATCTGAGTATCCATGGGCTCTTGATCACTTCAAGTTTTCATGGTCAAATTGCAGAGACAGGGCTGAATGGCAAAATTGCCACTGGACCTTGGGGATGTTAATTTTGTATCTCCTCCTAAAAATGTAACCTCCAGCAGCACAATGCCCCCTCACACTGTGTTGGGCATAGAGAAGAAAAGGTGCTGTCTACCGCTTCATCTGACGGAGCCTTTCATGCTTGGAAATGGGCCCTCTAGTTCACTTCTGGGGCAGGTGGGGAAGTTTGCGCTTCCCAACCACCTGAGCTGTTCCAGGTCGAGAACTTTACTCTTCAGACTTATCAAATCGGTTGCCATCCTCTCTTAGCACAGAATACACACACACACACAGTGTTTTCTTGTTAGCAAACCAGGGTGCCCAAATTACACGGGTGTTTCACCTGTGTTGTATGGAAACTCTTCCATTTTAGGTATAAATGGTTTCTCCAATGGTGCATGTTCATTCATTCCTAGAGCGGCTTGAAAAAGTCTATGTATGTTGAAATTTTGACCAAAAAATGAAGGCAGGGAGCGAAATTTGTGAGAATTTCCCCTCCTCCCCCATTTTTGCCCCCAGCCAACTCAATTTGCTTGTAAAATTCTTCATTACTTATTGAGTGCCCAAAGATGTGGTATGTGTTCCACAAACCAAAGAGAGAGTTCCTGCTCAAAGAAGGTACAATCTGCCTTTGACATGACACAACAGCTGTCACAACAAACTAGGGTGATGAAGAACAAGGGTAACAATGCGCAGTTACTCAGTAAGTGTGTATACACCTTGATGATAGTGTTATGTACTGTCCCACTCTCTTTCACATATAGTATTATATTATGTGAGGCATACACATTTGTTTTCTTTCTAACTAGGCCAGAGTGCGAAAGAAAGCAATAAGTGTTTTTACTGTAGTGTTGTGGATAGGAATCAAATTCAGAATGAGCCTAAGTATATAACGAGGACTGAGTCTGAGATCCATGCTGTCCCTTTTAAAACATGCAAGGAGTGCATCTGAAGAAGACAAGTGGTGTTTTACCCATGAAAGTTTATGCCCAAATAAATCTGTTAGTCTTTAAGGTGCCACCAGACTCCTTGTTGTTTTTGTGGATACAGACTAACACGGCTACCCCCGATACTTGACATAAGGAGGTACTTCACACAATGCACAGTCAACCTGTGGAACTCATTGTTAGGGGATATTGTGAAGGCCAAAACTATAACAGATTCAAAAAAGAGCTAGATAAGTTCACGGAGGATAGGCCCATCACTGGCTACTTGCCAGGATGGTCAGGGATGCAATCCCATGCTCTGAATGTCCTTAGCCTCTGTTTGCCAGAAGCTTGGAAAGTAAGATGGGATGGATCACTCAATGATTGCCTATTCTGTTCATTCCCTCTGAAGCACCTGGCACTGGAAGACAGGTTACTGGGCTAGATGGACCATTGGTCTGACCCAGGATGGCGGTTTTTATGTTATGTTCTTAAATGCAATGAACGGAAAGCTGTCAAATATTTGAACAGACTTGACTTGTAGCACTAAGTCCAAAGTAAAGATCCTACTGAAAGGATAGATTGCAAAATGCTCTGGAGAGTAAGGGTTCAGTTAATTAGCATTGTTTAATTAAAATCATGTCACAGGCAAAGGAGCTGGTGCTGTGATTAGAGCCAATAGTATAAGTAGCACTAAGAGCAGGAGGAAAGTGAAATCTTCCAAATTGCTGATGTGCTGCTAGTTAAGGGACAGCATGGATCTCAGAATGGGTCCTTGTTATATACTGAGGCTCATTCTGAATTTGATTCCTATCCACTACGCTACCATAATAACACTTATTGCTGTGGTCTTTGCTAATGCTTTAGATCGTGGACTGGAAATGTCTAAGCTTATTGTGGCATTTCAAGCGCCTTGGAATGCCTCCCACCCACTTAGTGCCCAAAAGCTGGGCTCAGCTATCCAGATTGCCATTGATAAAGTCAATTCAGACCCATCTTACCTGGGTAACTACACCTTGGATTTTGTTTATGCTGATTGCGGCTGTGATGCCAAGAAGTCCGTCAATGCTTTCATCAATCAGGTTCAGAAGGAGAACGTTTCGGCCCTGTTTGGACCTGTCTGCTCAGAAGCAGCTGAGGTAGCGTATGACTTCCCACCACTTTCTCTCTCCCGGCCCTGCTGCTCTGTGTACTGTATGTATTTCTGCTTTCATTATGAGTTGATTAATTCAGGGAGTTGTGTTTGACCTATAAATCTCTTAATGGGCTATCTTAAAGGTGTGAATTCAGTGCTGGTGCTTGAGTTAACAACTGCTTGTGGAAAGTGGCAGCTGGGAAGATGTTGCCCCTGAATTCTTCTCAACTCTGGAACTTGCTTTCTTCGTCCTTGGTCTGATACAGCCTGAGATTGCTGGCTTTCAGAGCATTCTGCAGGGCTTTCACAGGCTTTTGTGGAGGGATGTGTTGAGGGGGAGAATGTGATTAGTTCTGATGGGCAGGGAGCATTTTAGTTGTGCTGTCAGTCTAAAAGTCTCAGATGTATTTTGGTTTGCATGTGTGCTTAGATCTTAGGGCACAGAGTACAAATCAAGGGAACAAATAAAATTAAGATATTTGCTCCTTGGGGGTGGGGGAAACCATCAGTTCTGAAAGTTAATGAAAATCATGGAAAGGATAAAAGTGATACTTCCTAACAAATAGCACTAAATCTAGGACATTGTGTCTATCAGATATATCCAGGCTATTATACACAGTTTCCCCCGCCCCCCCACCAACTTATCTCAGGATAGAAGAATGATACGTTACTGTCTATTGTTAAAGTGCCCATATTAAATTATTCCCATAGGCTATTTTGAAAGTTGCCTACCGGGGTTGTTTGCCAGTTTCTATGGGCAGCTTTGACAATCTCAGCTGTTCTGCTTACGAAGCCACTTAAATATAATTGGCTAGTTAATAGAATTCTTTCTGTAAAACAAATCTTCTTGTTTTACACCAGTAAGTTTCACGTGTCGAAAGCCAAACCTCAGTGACAGTAAACAGGATTGATTTTTGTTGTTGTGAAAATTGTTCTTTTAAAATTTGCTGGGAACAACTGAAGACCTTTTAGTAGGAATGTTAAAGCTGACTTGTAAGCAGTGATAGGCAAAAGGCCCAGAGTTTTTGTTCTATTTGGATTGGAATCCAAACGGTCAAGCGTTCATCTGAATCTCTTTGGCCTGCCAATCCCATCAGAACTAGGTTTTTTTGAGATGTGCATTACCTCCTGGGTAAGTGCAGGTTTGTTTGCACTGTAATCAGAGCTACAGTTCGTACACTGCATGGCAATGAAACAATTTAGGACTTTGACTACAAATAGAGCTTTGCCATATCAAAGTTCACAATAAACAGGATCCATTATACTGTGGGATTAACACCCCCCCCCCCACGATTTCTGCTTCTAATTATAGAAGTGGGCTTGGAAAAGTCTGTCTTGTTCAACTTTCTATGCCATTGCTGCAGGATTGTTCCCTAGTTCTGTCCATTTAGTGCATTGTCCCTTCTAGTTTAAATATATCAACTGATGGTGTTTCTGCTACTCTCCTTGGGACTATACATCAGTGTAACAGTGTAATTTCCCTGTGCTGGTGATAGATAGGTAATTGACCCCCTTTGCCCCTCATGCTCCGCTAGCATCTGTACCAGGGCATATCTACTTTATTCTGTAGTTTCTCTCTCTTTCCTGTTTTCTTTTCTCTTCTTCAACTCCCTATCCCCAGTTCCCCATTCACACCAGTTAACTTCATGTCTCTTGACCTGGGAGATCCCCTGTTGTCTCCGAGGCTCAGCTACATAAGCAGTGGTTGGAGATCAGACTTTGAGACAGCAGCCACGTGTCTCAGAAAGATGCTTCTAGGACCAGCTACCTTAGAGGCCACTGTGGGAGCAGCCAGTTTCTAAGGGGCCACCAACTGCTTGGAGCATGTTTGTATTGAAGTTGGATCCAGGGTCATATCGGAGTTTTCCCTGACCTTGCTAGTCCCTACCCAGCCACCCATTCCCAATCCCTGATCTCACCCCTTCCCTTCTGATCCTGATTCCCTGATCCTTCCTGACCCTGCATCCCTTCCTTCCTGACCCTTCCTTTTCTGCTTCCTGTTCTCAAGCCTATTCCTGTGACAAATCTAGGGCTTGTTTACATGGGAAAGTGATTTTCAGACCATATCAATTCCCTCATTGCAAAATATTTCAAATAATCAGGACTGGATATGGGGGGAGAGGGAGTGTATGGGGAACTGCGAGTGGGGTGGGTTTTGCTCCTGTGCAGTGGGAGGGGAGCTGGAGGGCTGGGGGAGCCGCACCACGGGGAAGGAGCTGGGAGGTGTAAAGGAGAGGTGGGTCTCCCAGAGAGAGCTGTAGAGACAATTGGAGGGCACAGGTTTGTGCAGGGCAAAGGGCCCACACAGTTAGGGGGAGTCAGCAAGCAGGTGGCCCCTACCAAGAGCCATGGGAAAGAAGCAGGTGGAGAGGGAAATGAGGAGCTGGCTAGGTGGATGGTGAGCAGAGATCTATGCTTAATATACAAAAACTTGCTTGCTTGTCTCTCAGCTCCTCCTTCCCCCACTCTCTCATCAATCCCCTGCAACCCACCTTAACGTCCTCTGGGCAGAGACGGGTCTCCTCATGGACTGACTGTACAACAAGTGGATCTGATCCTGGACAGGCATCCTTAGGCACCCCTGTAATAACGAATAATAATACAGCAGGGAGGGAGCCGAAGCTGGAGAATTGGGGCCTGGGAGGAGCATTGGGAGAAAAAAAAAGTCTCCCTTTTATTGTGCTCAGCTCTATGTGATGCCCAACTCTTTCAAATATTTAAATTCCCTTTGTCACTGGGGAAAATATTTAAAGAGATACATGGCCATGAAAGCATGGGATAAGATATGGGAAATAAGCACTGCTCAGTAAAGGTACCGCATATGACTCAATGTAAACTACTGAATAAAGTTGTGCTTTTTTGCAGAGGGCCAATGGAAAGCCTGTGCTGTGGGACTTACATGGCACAGTGGTCTTTTTCTTCTCCTCTGTTCACGGGTGAATTTCATCCCGTGTAACCAAATCAAATATAATAGCAGTGAATCCCAACCCCGCTGGAGCATATGTGCAATTTCAGTTGCCCAATAATTTTAATCATGGACCCACAGTAGCAGCTCAGCAATGAGGTGGTGCTGGAACGCTGTTTGAGAAGTGACTCATAAAGCCTACAAGGAGGCTACACTTGTGGATGTGTGTTTGTGTTATTTGTTGTTAGCTGCTTTTGACTTTGTGGGCAGAGAGAAGAGCAGAAAAACTTTCAGACTGACTTCTGCTGGCAGCCAGAATCACATGAGATGCTCACTGGAGAAAGTATTATCCCCCATGATCCCTGATTAGCAATGGTATGGGTTACCTGAGCAATAGAGAAACCTACCTGGACTTTTACAGTGATCCCTATATCATCGGGACCCCTTTAATAGACTTCATTAATGAAATGTCAAATTGGCACCACTGAACTTTCTCTTTCCACAGAATAGAGCCTGCAGCATGAAATATTTCTGTCCTCATTTGAATTTGAAAGTGAACTTTGATTTGACCATGTTTCTGATACTTTCATGTTTTCATTCTAAGAACTTCCTAGTACTCAAGGTTTAGTACTGTGAATTCTCAAGAAAAGTGAATTTCAATCCTGACTATGCACTAATTTCAAATAGCCTGTGTTGAACAGAAACAATGCAACATGCTTTATGTAAGTAACCAGCACAGTGTGAATTTGTGTAACTTGCATAGTCATTACTGATCTTTTGTTCTGAATTTTGAAAATGATTCCTTCCTTTGTAATGGACCAAACTAAGTCTTCGTATCGAACAACCACAGACAGGGGGATGTCCGAAATCTTGATTTGAATCCTCATTTTGTGGCATGAGTCAAGCTCTTAGAACTTAATTTGAGGGGTGAGGGAAGAATTTGGAATGTTGAAGTCAATGGAGTTAACCAGAGATTAATTTAGTTCATACAATATTAAACCCCAATTCTTGGGCTTTACACAGTTCTTCAGCTATATAGCATCATTGTTCTGTAACAATATGGGGGCTGTTTCTGAGTTAAACCGGTGTGAGAGGAGAAGAAGATGCCAGTAAACCTTCTTAAGCAAAACAATTCACTTCTACTTATCGGTCTAACCCAGGGGTCGGCAACCTTTCAGAAGTGCTGTGCCGAGTCTTCATTTATTCACTCTAATTTAAGGTTTCGCGTGCCAGTAATACATTTTAATGTTTTTAGAAGATCTCTTTCTAGAAGTCTATAATATATAACTAAACTATTGTATGTAAAGTTAATAAGGTTTCAAAATGTTTAAGAAGCTTCATTTAAAATTAAATTAAAATGCAGAGCCCCCCAGACTGGTGGCCAGGACCCGGGCAGTGTGAGTGCCACTGAAAATCAGCTCACGTGCCGCCTTCGGCACCTGTGCCATAGGTTGCCTACCCCTGGTCTAACCTTTGCATTTTAAATACTGACATTAACTAACATGTCTGAAAAAACACTTTTGTTGCCGTCTAGGTTACTGGTTTGCTGGCTTCTCATTGGAATATCCCCTGGTTTGGATTTGTTGGCCAGAGTGCAAAGCTGGACAATGCAGATTTATATGACACCTATGTCAAACTTGTCTCCCCTCTGCAAAGGATAGGGGAAGTTCTGCATAAAAGTCTGCAATATTTTGGCTGGAAATATGTTGGATTATTTGGAGGTTCATCTGATGCTTCCACTGGGGAGAAAATTGATGAACTCTGGATGTCTGTCGAAAACCAACTCCAAGTCAATATCACTATCACTGCTAAAGTCAGATACAGCACAGAAGATCCAAGTCTCCACCAGGAAAACCTCAAGTACATATCGTCTGTTGCCAGAAGTAAGTTCCAGTTTAAAAGTGTTTTATACTGGCTGGCTTTAAAGGGACTACATGGAGAACTTTGCCAAATACAGATGAATGAAAAATTACTACAACACATCACTTGTATCAATCTGGAAGCTTATCTGGTATAATATTATTAAACATAGTTGGCTATTAGGGTATGTCTACATTGCATACTAAGCCCAGGCTCTGACTCAAGGTTGAGTCCAAGCCTCCCTTCCTTCCACAAACAAACCAGTCTGACTTGCGTTAGCAAGCACTCAATACCTAGGTCCTAAGACTCTGCCGAGGATGGGGATGGCTCAGATCCTGAGCCCCCCTGAGACTTAGCTCTAAGTCCAGTAATTTTGCAGTGTGAATGCATGTCAGGCTGCAGACCCAGATCAGAAAGTCTTTGTAGTGCAGTATAGATGCATTAGCATGGCTGTGAGACCAGACTCCAGCCATTTTAAACCCAGGTATACAATCCAGTGTGGATGCTCAAGCACAGGCCTGGAAATACCAAAGCCACAAACCTAGGTCCCATAGACCGAGGCTTAGTGTGCAGTGTACATACCCTTAGTTACCTGGGGACTTCAATTGGAGAGCAAAATATGGCCCGCCATATTAAAGCAATTAAATTATTGGTCCATTTACAGCAAAAATATGCTCATACCCCTTTCCCCCCCGTGCCCCCTCCCACCGAGTATATCTTGACTTTGTGTAATAACATGTCAATGGGAATAGACTATGGGAGTGGAATGTGATTGTCAAATCAACCTGGCTGAACCAGAATTTTGCCCTTAGCTTGTCTCACATATGTAGGTCAGAGGAAATGAGATGCACAGTGTTGCATGGAGCGTATTCATTCTTATGCTTAAGGAAAGAAACTCTATCAGGAAGCTTGAATTGACTACTTCTTGGTGTATATTCTGCATTATTATTTTAGAATTATTTCTCTCTCTCTCTAATACACACACACACACAAGCTCAGCTGGGAGTGACTTAGAGGATGGTTGATATGTTCTCACTAGCTGTGGAGTAAGGCACGCAAGGCACTATCAATAGGAAATATTCCCCTCTGGGTGAGAGGGCAGTAGCAAGATTGTGTAGTGTGAGTGAAACCTGGAAACCAGCTACACTGACTTAACTGGGTTCATTGTGATTAGCACAGATCATTGTGCTAGGCACCACACAGTGTACAAACAGGAGACACTCCCTGCCCTGAAGAGTGATCCAGATGTTGACTTGTTTTTAATGTAACTGGAGAACTCTTCCTTTTATTCGTTATTTCAGCATCCTTGTTAATTCAGATAAATGCAGTCATAACTACATAACAGCAGCAAACAAAAGAACTCCCAGTATGCAATACTGATCTCATTTCAGTTTGAAGTGAATTGCACTGCTGTGACTGCTAACTACTGCAGGGAAAGGGATCTAAAAGCCGTGTATAACACACAAATGGACCAACAGCAATTTGCAAGTCTGGTTAGCTAGACTTGTTCGATAAACTCGTTAGTTCGTTAAATGGCGTTAGCGACTTCTTTGTTTAAAATAGCCCTTTGGCAGCTGGTATGTCCCAGTTAAAACTGACTTCTAAAGGATTTAGCTACAGATCTCTCTCCACCAATCAAAGGGTTAAACGTGGCTTGTGAACAGGAAATGGCTAGAACTGGTTGAAAAATTTGAAACAAAATGTGTTCCCATAAGAAAGAGGGGTTTTGTTGAAATGAAATGTTTCCATCTAAATGAACAAGAGAAATATGTTATTCTGGGTCAGCATTGACCTGTGTCCTAATTCAATCCAGTGCCTCAAGGGAGTTGTAGTTCCAGGTCTCTCATGCCCCCGTTGTCCCCTATCGGCCCAGCTGCCTGGCTGGACGACATTTGCCATGACACATTATGGTCCCTCCCTGTTGCCATATCCTCGTGGTGCATCCAGGACAGGGAATCACTAGGGTATTAGGGATCGAGAGCTACTGCACTCATAATGAACCGCAACAGCTCAGGTGGATGTAGAGATTAGTGTAAACCCAAATGGAAATGTAATGGGTTTGTTTCAAGATGACAAAGTGAAATGAAATGTTTAAATTCAGGAGTGTTGATTGAAATGTTTTGACACTTCCAAATCAAAATATTCATTTGGAATGTGTTTGTTCTACAGAAAGTTTTGAGATTTCAACTTTTGCTCCCAATTTGGAATAAAAACAAATGGCAAAATATCAGAATTTCCTGAATTCCACCCTACTTAGCCAATCTCTTAGCTCATTGTCTGGGGTCCCTCTCCTCCCCCACCGCTTTGCTTCACCAGGGATAGTATGACAAAGTGGGAATTTTTTTGTAATATTTTTGAGTCCTGTTTGTGCCTCAGTTTCCCCTGTATGTTGCATTGTTACCTGGGGGGTGGAAAGAGACTGTTTGCTCTTGGGGCAGACTAAGACACAGGTGTGAATTGTGCCTAATTGTCTAGGGCTTAGGTTCCATATCAGTGGAGCTCTTGAGGAAACAATGGCAGAGCCAGTTGCCTGGTCATTGACATCTAGCAAGCAATGCCCCAGAGGGATATGAACTTCCCTGCCTCTCAGCAGGGCAGCTGAGTGGCATTTCCCCATCTCGAGAACAAAGGACTGGGTGGGGTGTAAGTGTGGGCTGGGAAAGGAAATCGGGGGCACACTTGGGGTTCTGATGAAGAAGGTTGGAGAGACGGAGCTTGAACAATGGATTTCTCTATGGCTTGGCTGGGCTCTGGGCTAACCAGAATGGACTATGCTTTAACCTTCATTCCTCTAGGCTAACCTAGGGACTTCCTATGCTGTGTTCCAGATGACTAATAAACCCTACTGTTTTGACAATGCCGTGTGAGGGTCACGGCACATGCTTGGACAGGCGCATTAGTCCCCGAAGAATATACAGGTCTCCATGGGGGCCTGTTTCAGTTGGACGCACTGAACAGAGCTCATGGTGTGAAGCAGGAGTGCTGCAGGCCCAGAGCTCCAGTTTAAGGAGGCGGTGAAGCCGTGTCGCTTACCCTGGAGTATGTGAGAGATCCCTTGGGAGGCTGGCTTACTGAAAGAGTTCCTTCTAGACTGTCCCAAATCTGGGGCCTTAGCAGAGATCCTGTGGCTCTGTGACAGATAGCAACCCCATTCGCCTGCTTGTCTGCATCTTCCACACACACGTTCTTCTATGCTGTCCCCTGTGCACAGAACACTCTCCCACTCCATGGTATTGGGGCATCCTTCTCCACACTAAGGGTTTGTCTACGCTACCCGCTGGATCGGCGAGCAGCAATCAATCCAGCCGGAGTCGATTTATCGCATCTAGCATAGACGCGATAAATCGACCGCTGAGCGCTCTCCTGTCGACTCCGATACTCCACCAGAACGAGGAGCGCAAGTGGAGTCGACGGGGGAGCATCAGCTGTTGACTTACTGCAGTGAAGACACCGCGGTAAGTAGCTCTAAGTATGTCGACTTCCGCTACACTATTCACGTAGCTGAAGTTGCGTATCTTAGATCGACCCCGCGCGGTAGTGTAGACAAGCCCTGAGCCACCCAAGGCTCAGCCTGATTGTTTGGGCTGCACACATGCAGGGACTTGCCCATAGGACTACATAAAACACTTGAATCACGCAAGGAGCTCCAGTTGCTCATAGAAATAGAGAAAGCTTTCTCCCTGCCATTCAATGGACAACGTGTCCTTCCCATCACGTTGCTGACAGTGTGTGTCAGTATTCCCTGGTGGCACGGTTACACAGGTCAGCTTTCTGGATTCATGAAAACTCTGCCTATGGACACAGCTTTTCCAAATCTGGTCACAGGTGAGAGGAGAAGACAACCTGTCCAAAACAAATTAATTGACCTGTTAACTAGAGCTGGTCAAAAATATTTCATCAACCTTTTTTTTTTCCAACCATTTTTGTGAACAATTTTAATTTTGGTCAACGTTTCCTACATTTTCAACACCCACAGCAACAACAACCCCCCAACGTTTTCTGTTAAAAAGCAAAACACAATTTGGTTTTTATTAAAAATATTGGGTTTTGATAAACTTTTTGTTTTCAAAAACAAAATTTTACTAAAAACAGTTTTTGAACTCACACAACTTTTTATTTTTTTGGTTTAAAAAACGTAATAAAGTTTGGGGAAAAAAGAAGGTTTTAAATATTTCCACTAAAACCATGGAAGACCTTTGTTATATTACTGTAAGTATGTGATCAAGGTTCGTCTTGATCCTTATTATACAGAAACCTAATCCGGTTTAAAAGCTGTTTGCTGTGGCAGTGCAGAATTCTGAAGCAAAATGCGTGTGTGCTCATTGGAACGTCAGTATCCAAACGCTTGGGTAGATGAGAGTTATTTCACAACAGCACATGGTTTAGCGCTGCAGCAAGCAGCAGGTTTTGCTTATTGCTTGCAGCTACAAGATGATTTTCTTTAAGGAGAAATGAAGAAAGATATTAACTCAGATAAACATGTTACATCAGAAAACCTATGAAGCTGAATATAATTGCTGTGCCCAATTGCCATGCTGGCTACAGACCCCAGCTGGGTGATTTCCATTCACTCTTAGGCTCATGAGAAGCTGATCTTTGACAGGGTTCCTACTGACTTTCTCTTTGGCACCTACAGCATCTTGGAAGTGTGTTCTGATTTTCCCTTTGTCACTAGATGAGAATGACAAGATGCAGCATAAGGATTTTGCTTTACTTACTGAAGATTAGTATGTTGCTCTTACTACATAGAAAATATCCACATGTGAAACTGACAGTACAATAAATCCCTCCTGCAAATGCCATTCTATGACACCAAAGTTAGCACTTCAGAAGACAAGAATGCAAGGCAGACTAGAACCTACTGCCCCGTTTTGAGCTGCATAGGCGATACGTGGCATAAGTCGGAGGAACTATTCTGAAGAGCAAAGGATCAGAAGAGGGGCAGAATTCCTCTGATCCGTTACAGAGCTTCATCTGACTGTTTAGGGCCATGCCAATACAAATCAGTGCAGAGGGGGAAGAGAGAACGTGTACCTCATAAAGAGTGGGAGGAATTGGGGTCATGGTCAGACAACTCGTTGATATGAGGGTCAGCAATGTGAAGGGAAACAGGAAACCTGTGGAGGGCGCATGCCCCAACCTGCTGACTTTCACGTACTCAGGAAAAAAGGACTCTTCGTGTGATGCTCGAATGGTCAGGCCCTCTAGCTTCTCTAGAACACCCAGTCCCACCGACAACAGTGGGATGTGATTTGTGTGTGTATATATAGGACTCGGGTTGTATATGGCTATCAGCGTTAGCGAATGCTTGCATGCAATGGAACTACAAGGGTTAGTATAATGTGACCTCAACCTGTTTGTTTCCATTGGGCACCACAGTGATACAAATAACTCCATCTGGAAAGTATATATTCTTACATGGGGAGTATTCCTTATGTAGCATTTGCTTCCAGATTTCCATGTTCTGGACTTCTACACATATCCTTTCTAAAGGTGGCTGGAAAACTGATTCCCCCCCTCCCCATATGTACACAAGAACAATATCTTTTTGAAATTTCCCTCTTGGGAAATTCTGATTTTTGTGGGTAAGGGTTCCCCGAATATGCACTTTCTTCCTGTTTCCCCCTTTTCCCCCCCTCAACTGGGAAACAGTAAGAAATTATGGGAAAGTTGCAGAGTGGGGGCTGGATAACGTCTCATGTTTAAAAGTAACACTACTACAGTTACCACTTAGAAGTGAAATTGTTACTTTCTCTTACTGCCAGAGAGAACATTTTGTTACTCTTTTCCAACTGAGACAAGTTAGTTAAAGGTCAGAAAGTCATGGCGGGAGAGGGGGAGGGGATGGTGATGGGAGGCAGGAATCCAGAATTTCAAAACAAAAAAATCACTTTCTTTTTTCTCAGGAATTTTTGTTTAAAAATATTGCAAATAAAAAAAGTCTTTGATAATTTTTTCCACAATTTTTTTTTTGTATTGAAACCCTCCTTGACAAAGAACAAAAAATAAAAACAACAAAACAAACAAACAAACAAAACAACCAAAACCACTTTTTGTGAGGAAATGTATTGACCATCTCAAATTGCCACTTGCGTCTGCAGATGTTTCATGGCTGTCTTTGGTTGCTGCCATGTGTCTATTGATGGGAATGTACCACTCAGTGTGTTTTGAGCTACACAGCGGATTTGCTATTTTGTTTCTGGAGTAAATTACTACAGATTTTTCTACCTCTCTACTGTGTAGCAGAGAGAAGCCTGCGACCCTGGCAACCCTTATTCATACCCCAGTCACCCTTTCTCCCATGACAAATCACATTGACTTCAATGGGACTACTCACATGAGTAAGTAGTGGGTAAAGTGTGTAGGATCCTCGTTCCTTATTTTCTAGCTACCACTGAAAGCCCCAGTGAGCCATGCATGTTTCATTTAAACAAGTCCATGACAAAGAGCTTTCGCTTGACATCAGTCCATGCTGGCTAAAGCAATAAATATGTTCAATGTGTAATCATGAGCCATGTAATTTAACTCAGCTTTTTAAAAATCATCCTAGTGTTGATTGGCAGCTCTGATTGTCTTGTCCATTTTTTTTAATTTGGTGGATGGATGGGGAGCAAATGACTAAACACACCTTTTTCTCTTGCAGTTATTGTTTTAATCTGCAGCTCTTCGGATGTCAGGTCTATTATGCTGGAGGCCAAACATCTAGGGCTGGTGAATGGGAAATTTGTGTTCTTCGTTTTGCAGCAGGTCAGTGGCAACCTGGCGAGTATTGCTCCAAGTTGGTTTATTAGCACTTGTTTTTGTCAGTTTGGAACCTGTCACCAGCAACATTAAAAATGTTGTAGCAAGAAATCTTTATAAACCAACGTACAGTAAAGATGGCCCTGACTCTGCACCCCAGTTTGTGCTAGCAGATCACAGTTCAAGCCCAAGCTCAATAACTGCACTTTGAACTAAGAGCACCATCACTTTAAGCCACTTACTGTACCCTCAACTCATTTTTCTCTTTCAGGACAATTTTTTGAAAGAGGCACTGAGCAGCGAGAAGAACAGCAGTGTGCTTGAAGCCTACCAGCCAGTGTTTCTGATTTCCCTCAACCCTTATGGAGGATACACTATGTATTCAGATTTTCTGAAGCAGGTCCATGAAAAACTGAAGGGACAGCCATTTTACAGCTCACTTTCTTCAGAAGAAGAGGTTTGATATGGTCCTCTCTAATTGCTGCACGTGTGGCCACTGGGTTCAATTCATACCAAGGGCCATCTCCCTCTTGTGCAACTTTGTGTGTGTGTGTGTGTGTGTGTGTGTGTGTGTGTGTAGTTCTGCTGATTCCACCAGGAGTACTTACTTGAATGAGGTGGCCCGAGATCAGAAACATATGTGGGTCACTCATTTATTGATTTTCAGTGAGTGGTGATGATATTGCCAGTTAAGTAGAAGGGTGACTTGAACCATTTCTATAGAGGTTTTCCTTCACTCTCATGCCATCCTATCTGGACATTGATCCTGGTTGCTGTCCTATACAGATGATCAAATTCGTATGTATGTAGACACAGCTCCAATTGCAGTCAATGGAAAATTGCACCTGCTTACTCCAGGGCTGAATTTGGCTCAGAAATTCACTGTTGACTTTGTCCCAAGGTTTAGTATCAGTCCTATAAGCTTTATATGGAAATTTTGTAAGCAAACCCTATACTCATTCTCTAGGGAGAAGGACCTTCTGTCTAAGTCCTTTATCTCTGAAGCTGAAACATTGCTTTTCCATTTTGCGCTTTTCAGGTCAGTTCTTACTCTGCCTACCTGCACGATGCAGTCCTGCTCTATGCCCTGTCCGCAAGGGAAATGTTAAAAGAAGGGAAAGATATCAGCGATGGACGGGCACTTGTCAACACTTTGAAAGGCTACAACAAAACTCGTTTGTATGGTAAGCTGCTGATGGGGAGACTTTGTCAATCACATGCAACTGACTGAAACTAAGCCTCTCATGAGTTAGCACACTTCTTATTGTCTTAGAGGGAAGATTTTCTTGATTTTCTCTGGGCAGTGTGCAAAGTAACGTCTTAGTTCAAATTAATCCTTTTTTTTTTAAAACCATTTTTAAATACTGATGAATTGTAGAAGTTTTGCAAAGGTATGTAAGGTTGGATTCTGTTCTCAGTTATCGGAGTGTAAATCCAGAGGAACTCAATCCAGAGAACTAGAAATACTATCCTACTTTTTTTTTGCTAAAATGGTGGCTTGCTTGTAACCATTCATTTTTCTTTTCTTTTTATACCTCAGCAAACACCAGCTCTTAGCGACCCCCACGTCTGTCATTTAAAAACAAACAAACAAAAAAAGAGTTTTAGTGCTGGCCAAGGTGTACTTCCCATGTTCCCCTTTTTGCAGAAATGGTAACAAAGCATTATTATGCTGGGGTTTATAAAACCAAATACCAAGAAAGTAAGGAAGGGGTGTAGGTGGGCACTACATACCCAGAGCTGCTTTAGTTGGAACTGTTTCTTGTCTACATAAATTGTTTGTTTCCAAAATTGCTTTGACATTTTTAACTTTGAAAAATGTTGACCAGCTCCATAGTTAGCAGGGTGTCGTCTTCTATTGAAAATGGGTCCCTGAAGCTTACTTGGGCACCAGACAACTTCAGCTCCAGTTCACTCCAGTTGCAAATCAGGTTCCTGGTTCCCCTCCAGTTCCCTCTGAGCTGGGCAGCTCTACCAGTCCCACTGCAGCCCCTGGCTTCTCTGGAAAGGCTTTCTCACAGAAAGACTTCCCAGAGAAAAGTCCTGCCCCGCTCCTGAACTGACAACTCCTTCCCCCTTGGTTTAAAGGGTTCCACAACCCTCCTTCATGGGCCAATGCTGCAATTCAAGCAGGCTTCTCCGGCCCACCAGCCCTCAGGTTCTTGAACTCCTACACTTCTTCCCTTTGGTTCCTGGGCCCCACAGCCCTCCTTCTTAAGTCTATGCTATGGTTCAGGCAGGCTCACTTGGAGGGTGCCTGGCTTGTACTTAGCTGGGTGTCAGCTCCCTACCACCACCAGCCTGTTAGCTACTAGTGCTAAAGAAGGAACATGGAATTAACCTTGAACCAAAAAAAGCCCAGCAGTGTTGAGTGAGTATGCTATGTACTCTTTTATCTTTCTAGGGGTTACTGGCCTGGTGTATATCGATGAATCAGGTGAGAGGTGGATGGATTACTCTGTATATTGTCTGCAGAAAGCTGGGAATTCATCACAGTTCGTTCCTATTCTTAATTATGATGTCGAGAGAAAAACAATCAGGTACTGTGGGTAATATTTTTAAGTGAAAATTCAATATTGAAAGTAGCTTATGGGTGATAAGTCACCCCTGTTCAGAGAGCAAGCACAAGGTCTTGAAGTTGTACTTAAGCCCTCAATATTGGGCTTATGTGTTACATAGGCCTTGTCAGAGCCTCTGCACAGGGGTGAAATTCACTGGTTGTGAACATGACTGCCCAATGGCCGATGCGAACACAAGATTTTCTGAGAGTACTGCATTACAGAGCTAATTCTAGGACAGTGTTTCTCAAAGTTTTGTATTGGTGACCCCTTTCACACAGCAAACCTATGAGTGCGACCCCCCCTTATAAATTAAAAACACTTTTTTTGTATTTAACATTATTATAAATGCTGGAGGCAAAGTGGGGTTTGGGAGTGGAGGCTGACAGGCTCACGACCCCCCCCATGTAATAACCTTGTGACCCCCTGAGGGGTCATGTCCCCCAGTTTGAGAACCCCTGTCCTTGGAACTGCTGCAGATATAACTTCTCAGAGCTTAGTTAGAGCAAATGAGATAGCCTTATATAAGTAGAATATGTTTTGTGTTTTAGTCTTATTGTATATGACCAGTATATGCTCTGATATTGAACTCATATGAAAGTGGCCTCTTTTCTGTAGTGCAGGTCACCACACATAAGTTACATGTATACAAATATGGCATGTTATCTCAGTTTGAGAAACATGCATCCTTGTTTCCACTTGCCTTTTCTATTAGAGCAAACTTCGTTAACATGAAAATGTCTTACACAAGCAGACAATATCACCGGAAAGTAATGGCTCTGCTGAAAAGAAATTAATTGCCAACCTTAACTGAATGTATCTGATAGTCCATTAGCAGGTTCCGGATTGGAGCATGTTGATAATTAGTAGGGTGGTTGTGGTTTTTTTTTTTTTTAAAGAGTATTGATTACAGGCAGGTGGATAATTTCCAGTGAAACACTTTCTTGTTGGAAAACAGGGTTTCAATAAAAATGTTTGATTTTTACAAAATATTTTGGTTTTTTGAAAATTTTCATTTCACTGGTAGTTGCACCGCCCCATGCACACACTTTCTGACTTTTTTCCAACCTCTGGCAGCTGAAATAGAGCAACAAAGTATAGGGGACACTGTTATGTGTTGAAAGTGTTTCTTTCTCTTTGAATGTGTTATTTTCAACACTTTAACAGTTTTCTAACAGACAAAAGTTGGGAAATATTAAGGAAGTGTTGGAAAGTGGTGAAAAATCCCATTTTTAGCACTGTTTTGCTGTTTAAGACTGTACAAATGTGTTACACTGGTTTTAAATAGTATAAAGGTCTCAAAAGTAGGCTTCCCTCCATGTTCTACCTTTTTGTCAATGGGCAAAAAAGGGGGAAAGAAAAAAGGGGAAATAGCTCCAAATTTAGCAACCTTGACATTTTTCAGCTTTAAAAAGCTGAAATGAAATACGTTTGAATTTGAAATGAAGCAAAAAAATTCATTGTGTTTCTAAATATTGATTTGAAAGAAACATACGTCTAAGGGGAAAAGGAGTTCAGGAGAGTTGGCAGTTTCTCAAAGAAACAACATTAAAAGGGCAAGAGCAAATTATCCTGATAGGAAGGCAAGATGGGAAGAACCGTAAGAGGCCAATATGGCTCCATCAGGAGCTCTTTAAGGACCTGAAAATCAAAAAGGAATAATACAGTAAGTGGAAACATTGCTAAGGATGAGAACAAAAGAATAGCACCAATATGTAGGGACAAAATCAGAAAGGCTAAATGAGCTTAGCAAGGGACATAAAAGGCAAGAAGAGGTTCTATAAATATATAGGAGCAAGAGAAAGATGATGGAAAATGTACGTCCTCTATTTATAGTCAACATCAAGAAGGCTAAGGTGTTTAATGCCTATTTTGCTTCGGTCGTCACTAAAAAGGTAAATTGTGACCAGATACTTAACACAATTAATATTAACAAGAAGGAAGGAATGCAAATCAACATAGGAAAAGAACAGATTGAAGAATATTTAGATAAGTTTAGATGTATTCAAGTCAGAAGGGCCTGATAAAATTCATCCTAGGGTTCTTAAGGAACTAGCTGAATCAATCTCGAAACCCTTAGGCCTGGTCTACACTGGGGGCGGGATCGATCTAAGATACGCAACTTCAGCTACGAGAATAGCATAGCTGAAGTCGACGTATCTTAGATCGACTTAGAATTATTTACTTCGCGTCCTCGCGGCGCGGGATCAACGGCCGCGGCTCCCCTGTCGACTTTGCTTCCTCCTCTCACCGAGCTGGAGTTCAGCAGTCAACGGGAGAGCGATCGGGGATCGATTTATCACATCTACATTACTCGCGATCCGGTGGGTAGTGTAGACATACCCTTAGTGATTATCCTTCAGAACCCAAGGAGGACAGGTGAAGTCCCTGAGCCCTGGAGAAGAGCAAACATAGTACCTATCTTTAAAAAAGGGGAAAAAGAGGACCCAGGGAATTATAGACCAGTCAGATGAACTTCGATTCCTGAAAAGATACTGGAATAAACTATCAAACAATCAATTTGTAAGCACTTAAAGGATAATAAGGTTGTAAGTAATAGCCAACATGGATTGGTCAAGAAGAAATCATGCCATACCAACCTAATTCCTTCTTTGGTGCAGTTACTGGCCTAGTGGATGGGGGAATCTGTAGACATGATATACCTTGATTTTAGTAAGCATTTTGACACAGTCCCACATGACATTCTTATAAACTAGGGAAATATGATCTGGGTAAATTATTATAAGGTTGGTGCAAAACTGGTTGAAAGACTGTACTCAGTGAGTAGTGGTCAGTAATTTGCTGTCAAACTGGGAGGACATGCGTCGTGGGGTCCTGCATGGGTTTGCTCTGGGTCCAGTGCTATTCAATATTTTGATTAATGACTTGGATAATGGTGTGGATAATGTGTGGGTGACTCCAAGCTGGAAGGGGTTGCTACCACTTTGGACGACAGTATTAAAATTCAAAACGACCTTGACAAATTGGAGAATTGGTCTGAAATCAGCAAGATGAAATTCAATAAAGACAAGTGCAAAGTACTACACGTAGGAAGAAAAAATCAGACGTGTAACTACAAAATGGAAATGGAAGTACTAACTAGCTAGGTGTTAGTACTTCTTACACGGGTCTGGGGATTAGAGTGAATCACAAATTGAATGAGAGTCAACACGGTGATGCAGTTGTGGAAAAGGCTATTATTGTTCTGGGGGCGTATTAACAGGAGTGTTGTATGTAAGACACAGGAAGTAATTGTCCTGCTCTATTTGATACTGGTGAGGCCTCAGCTGGAGTACTGTGTCCAGTTCTGGGTGCCCCACTTTAAGGAGGTTGTGGACAAATTGGAGAGAGTCCAGAGAAGCGCAACAAAGGTGATAAAAGCTTTAGAAAACCTGACCTATAAGGAAAGGTAAAAAACAGGGCATGTTTTGTCTTGAGAAAAGAAGACTGAAAGGAGCCTGTGATCAATTGTTCTCCATGTCCACTGAAGGTAGGACAAGAAGTAAGGGGCTTAATCTACAGCAAGGGAGCTTTAGGTTAGATATTAGGAAAAACTTTCTAACTACTATATATGGATAGTTAAGCTCTGGAATAGGCTTCCAAGGGAGGTTGTGAAATCCTTGTCATTGGAGATTTCTAGACAAACATCTGTTAGGGATGGTCTAAGTATACTTCACCCTGCCTCACCACAGGGAGCTGGACTAGAGGATCTCTTGAGGTCCCTTCCAGCCCTACATTTCTATAATTCTATAACAAAATATGTGTCCCATTTCATTTCAAAAACCCCTGCAGAAAATCAGAAATTTTTGATTAAAACATTTCAAAAGGATTTTTTTTCTGGTAGAAATTTGTGTGTATGGGGGCGGGGAAATCACATTTTCAGATCAGCTCTAGTATTTATGAGCTTTAGAAATGATGCCAATTTTGTGATCGCTGTTGGAAAATAACTTTAGGAAAGGAGGACAGGCAATAGAAATGGGCACTTACATTTATCTGTCTCCATCTATAGCCCAACCACAGAAATTGCCTACATCAGCTGGCTGGCTGACTTTCCTCCCAAAGACAGACCGTACTGTGGGTTTAATAATGAACAGTGTGAAACTTCAGTTATAAGTGAGTATGGTCATACTTAATGAGATCAGCACTCTTGGGCACATGGGCAGGGGAAAGAGACAAAGGAAATACTTTGCTGCTATTTAGCATCTTTCATCCAAAGATCAAAGAAGCTTTTTATAAACATTAATTAATGAAATCTCACAATACTTCAGAAAAGGAGAAACTTTGTGAGTGTGTCTACAGTATACTATCCTCATTTTATAGGGAAACTGAGGCAAAGAGCGGCTGAGACTTAGGACCAAGATTTAAAAAAATGGATACTTAAATTTACATACCTAAATCCATATTTATGCACTTAAATAAGTAGAGCTATTGTGTGCTCAGACTTCTGAAAATTAGGCTATTATTTAGGTGTCAGTACTACATCCATATTTAGATTTTTTTTTTGAAAATGTAGGCTAATATTTGAAAAGGTGTCAGCTAATCTTTGGTGATACCCATTTTTTGGGTTCACAACTAGTGACACTTAGGGCTGATTTTCACAAGTGGTGAGCACTGACATCTCCAGTTGAAGCCAGTATGAGCCGTGAGTAATCCGCGTCTCTGAAAGTCAGGAGGGGGGTAGCTATGTAGGAAATGTTAGGAGGGCATTATTCCGCTGGATTCTCCACAAGGAGCCAATTAAATTGGTGTTCCAGCTGTTTTATGCTGCCTGAGTGGTGCGAAGCCCCTGGATTGGAACCAGGGATCAACCAAGCATATGATATCAATATGAAGCAAGGTGACAACTCACTCCTGAAAAAAATCACCTGTTTGGTTGTGCCATCAAGATTTTTCTCTGCCTCCGTATAGCTGGGGATGATCTGTATCATGTCTTTAACAGGTACGCCAGTGACCGTTCTGATTGTCGTCCTGTTGGTAACCGCCTCAGGAGCTGCCAGCATAATGGTGTTTTTAAAGATCCAGGAAAGGAAGCTGCAAAAGCAAATGGATGACATCTGGTGGAAAATAAACTACAATGATATTATTATGCTTAAAGATCATAAGGTAAAGCAAGACCTTGAAATACCAGGAATCACACTAGTTATAGTAGGGGGCAGGGATAGCTCAGTGGTTTGAGCATTGGCCTGCTAAACCCAGGGTTCTGAGTTCAATCCTTGAGGGGGCCACTTAGGAATCTGGGGCAAAATTAGTACTTGGTCCTACTAGTGAAGGCAGCAGGCTGGACTTGATGACCTTTCAAGGTCCCTTCCAGTTCTAGGAGATCTCCATTAATTTATTTATTTATAAATGATTCTCTGAGAGAAGGGATCCATAAGTTTGTCATCATTTTAGCAATTAATAAGAACATAAGAACATAAGAAAGGCCGTACCGGGTCAGACCAAAGGTCCATCTAGCCCAGTATCCTGTCTACTGACAGTGGCCAATGCCAGGTGCCCCAGAGGGAGTGGACCTAACAGGCAATGATCAAGTGATCTCTCTCCTGCCATCCATCTCCATCCTCTGACAGAGGCTTTTGTTATGAAGTTGGATAAATTTACTTACAGCAAAGTACATAAGCATGTCCTTACTTTAAGCACTTAAATAGTCTTATTTAAATCAATAGGCCTACTCTTATGCTCGAAGTTAGGCATGCACTTGAGTACTTTGCAGTATCAGGGCCTAAGGAGTTAATGGGACAAACCATGACCTGGGTTACACTGATGGAATCTGGAGTGATTACTTTGCAGCAGTAGATGCTCAGTATGGGACTGGGTCCTTATACTGTGGCGATCTGATCTGCGTTGCCTGGTAGTGTTATGTCAGGTACACTTTTCCCCAATGATTTCTAAAACATTTTCTCAGCATATTACTCACTAATGGGTGAAATTCACTGCTATCCAGAGGAGCAGCACAAGGCATATTCAGCACAACAGTTCTACTTACACCTTAGTTGAAAATTGTTTGGAGAGGGCTCATATTAGTCCTATGTCAACTCTGGACATAACCCTCAGAACTTAAATATAGAGCTTTGTGAATACCGATGTATTCAGTTCACTGGCTGAACAGAAAAATTAAAAAAATATATTTCAGGTTAGTCGGAAATTATTGTTCTCCATCTTTTTCAGAGAACTGAAAAAGTCAAAAAAAAATTCATTTAAAAAAATGTTTTCATGGTTTTATTAAAAGTAAAATTAGGGGAAATACCAAAATAAAATATTTTTCCAAAACGAAAAGTCAAAACATTGACGTTTCTGAATTTTTTTTTTGACTGGAACAATTAGCCAAAATTGATCTGAATTTGTGAATTGTTTTGGTCAACCCAAATCTGTATTTTTGTGTGGGGGGGAAAAAACCAACCATTTCTCATGAATTTTTTTTTTGCCAATTTCTATTTGTGGGTCATGTACTTTGTGCTGGTCCTCTGTATAGGAGTGAAGCCCAAGCGTATGTGATTTCCTTCTACATCAGGTTTGGATGGCATCTTGCTTTTCATTACCTATGTTTTGTCTTTATTATTTATGGTAAGCACTGCAGGAAAACCCATTACTGGGTTTCTTCCTCATCAGTTTGTCTTTGTCAATATGGGCAAGTCTTAGGTTTGTCAAAATTTAACTAGGTTATTTATGAAGTTTTAACAGTATCACATCTCTTGTGTTTTCTCCTAAAGGATCATTTTGAGCTATCACAAACAAGCACACCAGTGTCTAAAGGACAAGAAAGTGTTGGGTCCAGTTTGATATTTTCAAGCAATTGGCGGTCTGGGTTGAAGGACAAGCAGGGGAAAGATGTATTTTATACTGCAATAGGTCTTTACCAGGTACGACTACAAAGGGAGATTAGGTGAGCTTCAGTAGGTGTACTTTCTGCTCTGTTATGTTAACTGTGTCCTTTTTGGTTTCCTTTGTGCGGCTTTGGGTGCTCTGTACAGGTGAATAGGGCACAAGATGGCCAAAAGAATAAAAGTCACAGTAGTTCTCAGGATTCACAGGTAGGACTGTGAAACTGATGGCACTAATTTACTAAGGTTGCTGATAAATGTCCAGCTCTGCTTTGCCAAAAATGGCAGATTGCAGAAATGTCCTATATGAAATTCTCGCAGAGATGGAGTCAGAGTTTTTGGGTAGCATAATTGGCCTTCCAAAAGCATGACATATCTTATGAGTCTTAACTTACTGGCTATATAATATAGTATATATACTATGACAGCATTACAGTTCTTGGTAATTCCTCTAGGAGTACATTATTTCATCTGCAGAAAGTTGTTCTGAAAATATATGCTGTATCGATTAACATCATTGGGCAGAATGTTATACAAGAGAACCTAAATTAAAACCACTTCCGGGCTGTATCGTCTGTGACAACCATTGGTAATTTGACTGTTAGCGTAGGATCTTCATTTGACTACCTTGCTTTGTTACAGTCAGCTGGTTTCCCAATATAATTTTGGCATCTTTCCCTCAGAACCCTTAAAAATTGATTTAAAAGGCAATTTCAACTTTGTCACTGGGCAAGTTAGTAATCCAATACCTTGTACAGTGAAGCTCATATTGGTCATCTCTTATGGCTGCGTGTCTGTACAGGGAAAGATACTTTTAGCCATTTTAACATATGGTGGTTCTAAACTTCTAAGCACATGCTATGTTTTCTCATAGGTGCCTTCATAACCTTTTTGTGCAGATCTCTTCCAAACAGTTTCTGTGTTAAAGTACTGTCTGTTGGATTCCACCTTTCTGAATATTTGTTTCAGGGAACTCTTGTTGCAATCAGGTACATAGATAACCAAACAGATGCCTGGAGTCGGAAACAGTCAGTCCTTCATGAAGTTCAGATGGTAAGGTTCAATCTCAACGTCTTCCTCCTATGCCCGACTGAAATGAAATGCAAATTATGTCACAAACATACTGTAGGTACTGCCGAATCGGGCAACTGGCCCATCTATCTTTAGCAAGCTGAAATTGACATCCAGAGCCTGCAATATTTTGTTGGTGTTGAATTTGGGAGAAGATTAGATTCTACTTAGGCTTCATCAGTGTCATGCATTTTGGTTTTGGGCACCTCTATATTAAAAAGGTATTGACAAGCTGGAGGAGAAGACCAATAACAAATAGGACTTAACTGAGTGACAGGAGGGACTGACATTTTAGAAGAGCTCCTGGGCCAGATTGTGATACCTTTTCTCATGTTGAGTGTTAATCTTACTCCTGAAGTAATCCTATTGATTTCAATGGGTCTAATCATGGTTCACGGTTCTATTCCATGTGAGTAAGAGTGTCAGAATCTGGCCCCAAAGGACTAAATATTTATACTGTGAAGGTAAACCAGGGAAATAACTGCCTTCTCCATCTTCAAGGTAGAAGCATTAAGAAGGGAGAGGAATTGTCTAGGATGGTCCAAAGGGGTATTTTCAGGGGCTGTGAAGAAGATATTAAGCTGAAATAATGGGGATTGTACTAATAGTGGTGATCTATCAGGCTAGAATAGACTCCTGGGGGCTGGAATAGACTCCTGGAAATGGTGGAAGCTCCAATGCTTGAATCATCTGAAGCAAGACTAGTGTCAGGAATAGAAACTATATTGTAGAGGCATTCCTGAACTAGCCAGGTTTGGACAAGGATGAGCTAATGACCTTTTCATTTTTACCTTGTAGGATTCTTGTAGTAAATGATGACTAAGGAACAACTCAGGGTGCTGTAATGTAAACAAATGTGTTTAACGAGGCCTCTTTGCTTTCAGATGCGCGAGTTGAGGCATGAGAATCTGGTGGCCTTCTTTGGTATGTGCACTGAAATTCCCAATATCTGTATTATTACAGAGTACTGCAAGAAAGGAAGCCTAAAGGTGAGAACACCAGCATCATTTACAACAATAAACTTAGGGTTGACTTGTAAGAGAGCTTGCAAAAGAGCTGTTCTGAGCTCTAGCCAGGTCAGCCAGGACTGATATTCCTCACCCCCCTTTTGTTTGTTAGCTGTTTTTGCTGCTTACTCTTGCTCTGTTGATATCAGGACTTTCCTAGCTTCTAATAGCTAGGACTTCAAGTGCACATGTCCCTTCCTACTCCTATGCATCTTCATTGCTTTCGTGTTCAGTTCTTTCTTATGTGCAACCATTTTGTGAATACCAGATATGAGAAGCAGAATAGTACCCTGGACAACAATAAAAAAACAGACATTACACCACAGAGGCAGTGAGTATTAGGACATCTTATTTATCAAGAAACATCTTATTTACTCAGCTTATTACATAAAACATAAGAATGGCCCTACTGGGTCAGACCAAGGGTCCATCTAGCCCAGTATCCTGTCTTCCGACAGTGGCCAGTGCCTGGTGTCCCAGAGGGAATGAACAGAACAGGCAATCATCAAGTGATCCATCCCCTGTCACTCATTCCCAGCTTCTGTAACTTATTGTGTAATAAAGCTCTACAGAATTTGTATGTAAATATGGAATCAAGTTTGTAATTGCCACTTGCCCAATAGCGATACATACAGACTATTCTCAGCAACTGCTGATTTGGAGACCCATACACATGTATTAGGAAATAAGTTTTCCGTTTCCAATAAACGTTCACAGAGCAAATAGGCTGAGTTCAGTTCCATGTGCTCACTGCAACTCAGTCTGATGAGATTCAGTCCAATGTCATTCTGAACATTTTTGTTTTTCAGGACATTTTGAGGAACTCTGATATTGAATTGGATTGGATATTCAAACTCTCTCTCGCCTACGATATAGTCAATGTGAGTATGACATTGAATTGTTTTCTGATAGAAAACCTTCTTTAAAAAGTTATGGAGCCTAGAAACGCTTATTGCTCTGGACTTTGAACATGTCAGAGACAAAAATGAGAGTAATACACTATCCCGTTGGAGCCAGATGGAAGTGTCGGGTTTGCATTTGATAGAGGGTTGAGGAAGTTGTTATTGCAAATTATCCTTATTTTATTGCATGTATTTATTTCATTAATTTGGGAGTTCTGTTGCAGTGACCTATGCTTACACCATTAAACAAACCCCAAATTAAACATTTGTTACACATAGGAAAAAAAGGGGGTGGACAGTTAAAAATAAAATGTAAAAAGTTCTAAAGTCTTGAGACAATTGTTTGACATTGTAAGCTCTTCAGGACTGGACCGGCCATTCAAAAAAGAACTAGATAAGTTCATGGAGGATAGGTTCATCAATGGCTATTGGCTAGGATGGACAGGGATGGTGTCCCTAGCCTCTGTTTGCCAGCAACTGGGAATGGGCGATGGAATGGATCACTTGATGATTACCTGTTGTGTTCATTCCCTCTGGGGCACCTGGCATTAGGCTTACCAGATGTCTCAATATTTAACCCTTTGTCCCGCGTCCCGATCAATGTACAATTGGGACGTCATTTGTCCCGATATTCAGGTAAGGAGGCGAGCGGGAGGGAGGTGCCGACTTCGTGGGTGGTCCAGGGTTGGAGCACCCACGGGGAAAAATTGCAGCCAAGCTCCCCCCTCCTCACCTCCTTCTTCCCCCCTCCCCCCAGTGCGCCATGTCCCCGCTCCTCCCCCACTCCCAGCGCTTCCCACCGCCTAACAGCTGTTTGGTGGCGCTTAGCGCTTTCCAGGAGGGAGGAGCGGGGACGTGGCACGCTCAGGGGAGGAGGTGGAGAAGAGGCAGGGCAGGGGTGGGGACTTGGGGGTGGAGCGAAGGTGGATGCTTGGGTGGGAAGATGCGGGAGGTGGGCGAGCACCCACCCGGCAGAAAGGAAGTCAGCGCCATAGGGGTGAGTGGTGGGAGGGGAGCTGAAGAGGCGAGTGATCGGCGGGCAGGCGGGGAGGGGGTGAGGAGGGACGCAGCAAGCCAGCAGGGGGCCACGGGATGAGGAAGGGGCGGTGGGGGGGGGGGGCCCTGAGGGGGGGGGGGGCGGGACCTGGGGCAGAGTGGGGGCAGAGCCTGGGAGGAGCAGGGGTGGACTGTGGGCAGGGCTGACGGCACCCCAATGTGTCCCGATATTTTAGTGTTGTGATCTGGTCACCCTACCTGGCACTGGCCACTGTCGGAAGACAGGATACTGGGCTCAATGGACCTTTGGTCTGACCCAGTACGGCTGTTCTTATGTATTTACTACATACAACACTGAGCACAAAGGAAGCCTAACCTGGTTGAGGCTTCTAGACAGTACTGCAATATGAACAACAGTAATAAATAATACACAAAACCATTATTTTAACATGTTTCTCTTTTCATTTGTACAGAGTTGTTTTCCAAAAGCAAAAATTTTTGCTTGAAAATTTATAGATGCTACTAAATAGGGGGGAGGGAAGGAATTCCATTCCGATTTTCTTGTTAAAGTCCGATTCTGGTTTGTGTGTGTTGTTAAGACACAAGATGGGAGTGAGGAGAAAGGGGGAAAGATTACCAAATGATACAAGAGGTTGCTTCTGTTTCTGATACTTGTTGGTCATTTACTTGAAGACCCGTAGTGCGTGGCCCGTAGCCACTTTTGTAACCTGGCTTTATTCACCTGGCCCTGGCAAATATTTTGCTACATTCCTTTGTCTGGTTTGTGGAAGTGAAGGGACTGTCCCCTTGCTGAGGTGCTCATGCTCCCAAGGCGGGCAGGAAGGAGTATGGCCATCCTGCCACATCCAAAGGAATAGGCCACACCTTTCTAGTCATGAATTTCATTCTTCAGTAAGGAATGAATGAAAAGTGCTAAGTAAAATGATTTGTTTGTGTGACAGCAGTGTAAAAAGGCCTCTCTGGATTGGGGCTCCATTGTGTTAGGTGCTGTACAAACACACAGTAGGAATACGTGTCTGCCCTGAAGAGTTTGTAATCTAAAGTTTTGGTCCAATGATTAGGGCATAAGTCTAGGATGTAGGAGAGACAGGTTCATTTCCCATCTCTGCCACAGACTCTCCTATATGATCTTGGGCAAGTCACCTAGGCCTAGATTTTTAAAGGCGTTGTGGGGCTCAGTGTCACAATATCTAACTGATTAGGAGTCTCTCTTGTTTTCAAAAGTGATTTAGGCACTTAAGAGTCTTACAATGGTATTTAGGCTCTAAACTCCTAAATCACTTTTGAAAACAAGACCGGCTCCTAAATCAGCTGGGCATTGCAATGCTGAGTGCCACAATGCCTAAATACCTGTAAAAATCTGGGCCTAAGACTGTTTCTCAGTGCCCCATCCATATAGGGATAATAGTACTTCCTTACCTCACAAGGGTGTTGTCAGGATAAATACGATAAAGAATGTGAGGTGCTCACATACTATTATGGTGGGGAGTGTCACATTTCAGAGCAACCATGCCTGTATTTCTCTGCAGTGGTCCAGCAAGGGTACGCACTGTCAGGTTTCCAGCTCCCTTGCCCGTCACCTCCCTTGGTGAGTCTCACTCTCGGCTGACTGGGGTATTTCCAGGCTGCACAGTCCCATGACTGTACTGTTATTCCCAGCAGAGACAGACTGCCCAAGCAGGCCTGCTTGCTTTGTCTTCAGAGACGGTTAGTAGTACGACTGCCTTCAGTTATGTTACTACACAGCTCTTTCTAAGCAAGCCTGTTTGAGTCTCAAGGTAAAAGCATTACAGAGAAAACCTATTAAAATCATTAGAAGAACCTACACGCATGCTAACAAGCTTACCAGAGATCACCCCTACCCCAGCATGGGCTCTGGTAGGAACAGTCCTTCACTACTCTGTCCAAGCAGGGGGGCTGGAACAATTTGTATAGGGGAAGTGCTGAGAGCCATTGAACCAAACTGTAAACCCTGTATGTGATGGAAACCACTTCCTGCCGGGGGGTGCGGCAGCACCCCTAGTTCCAGCACCTATGCGCCCAAGGGGTTTCCTTGTGGTACCAAGTTCATCACCGCTTCAGCTCAGAACAAGCACACAGTCTTTTGGGGCTGGGCCCTCAGCAAGCCAAGTTTCTCCAAACCTTCCCTAAGAATTGGGGCTCTTCTTAGAGCAGAAATAGTGCCCCGAGCCTGTCTGAAAACAGGCTATTTAACCAAAAATCTTTTCTTTGGCCTTGGCTACACTGGCGCTGTACAGCGCTGCAACTTGTTGCGCTCAGGGGTGTGACAACGCCTCCCCCCCAGCGCAGTGAGTGCAGACTACACTCACCGCGGCAGCGCTGTGAATTCCCAAGTGTAGCCAAGGCCTTTGTCTGTTGGTCCCTGGAGGATTCAGTTTGAACTAATATATGTGGACCCCACCAGATGGTTTCAATAACCAGAGGAAATACATTACCATCCCCGTATTCCTAGAAGAGTTACATACAATTCTACAATAACACAGTTGCATTTTTAATACAATGAGCCCCCAAAATATCAAACCAAACTCCATAAGTTTTAACTTAATTCAGGAAAGTATCAGGGGGTAGCAATGCTAGTCTGGATCTGAATTAAGCAACAAAGAGTCCTGAGGCACCTTATAGACTCTCAGATGTATTGGAGCATAAGCTTTCGTGGGTGAATTACATGCGTCTGACGAAATGGGTATTCACCCACAAAAGCTTATGCTCCAATACATCTGAGAGTCTATAAGGTGCCACAGGACTCTTTGTTGCTTAATTCAGGAAAGTTTATCTTCAGTCCATCAGGTTTATCCAGGGTATTGAATGATATTGTCAGTCTGTCACGGGGACGATATTAAATACCCAAGACATCTAGGTAGAGAGGTCAGAGATTCCATGTGGGCAAAGGGATTTGTGAAAACAATGTCCAGGATCGGGGCCTAACGTAAGGCCAGATACCCTGGGTGAGTGGAGGGAATGAGGACAACAGTAGCAGTGATAGAAGAATGTGGCTATCCAGACAAAATGTGGGCATAACTAGTAGGTTTCTGGATGGGTTTGACCAAAGCAGACCATTGCTACAAATAGCCTGGACAACGTAATGGAAAAAAGACTAGCATAGATACGATGAGATTTAGGGACGAAAGCCCTGGTGTTTCTGTCCAGAACCAGCTGAGCCAAGAGCTGGTTACACTTGCTTGTTGCATTGACAGCCAAAACTACATCCCGCCATTCATTGGGGGTATTTTATTCTGGCTGGTGCTTCTATAGCCACCACTCTAAAGTCACACTGTCCCTGTTTTTGTAGGGGATGTTGTTTCTTCACAGAAGCCCATTGAACTCCCATGGAAATCTGAAACCTACTAACTGTTTGGTGGATAGTCGCATGCAAGTGAAACTGTGTGGATTTGGGCTATGGGAGTTTAAGTATGGAAAGAAATACCGAGTAATTACTGAGAAAAACACCAACTATGCAGGTAAGTGGATTATACAAGAATTACAAGCACAAGGGATGCACCAAAACAACGATTGATGGATTCCTCTAGCGGATGCTTTCCTTCATACTGGTCTTCACACACATTTTATCTACAACACCTCTTTGAATATTGGTGATTGGAACACAGCTTTTGGAAATTACAGAGGTTTTTTTTTTTTAATTCCAGTAATGCTGCATATAGATGAGCAAATAGCAGCAAATAATGCATATGATCAGTTTTTGTCTCTATTTTGCTCAATAATTGTCTTTGAGCAGCTTATGATTTTCTACAATTTGTTGTTAAAAAATGTTTGCTGAATAATTTTGGTGAATAATTTTTGGTCTGTAGCTGTGGATGAATTAAGGCATAAATGCTATAGACATTTATCAATATTGATAAATGCAAAGTAATGCACACTGGAAAACATAATCCCAACTATACATATCAAATGATGGGGTCTAAATTAGCTGTTACGATTCAAGAAAGAGATTTTGGAGACACTGTGGATAGTTCTCTGAAAACATCCACTCAATGTGCAGCGGCAGTCAAAAAAGCTAACAGAATGTTGGGAATCATTAAGAAAGGGATAGATAAGACAGAAAATATCATATTGCCTCTATATAAATCCATGGTATTCCCACATCTTGAATACTGCGTGCAGATGTGGTTACCCCATCTCAAAAAAAGATATATTGGAATTGGAAAAGGTTAAGAAAAGGGCAACAAAAATGATTAGGGGTGTGGAACGGCTTCCGTTAGAAGGAGAGATTAATAAAACTGGGACTTTTCAGCTTGGGGGGAAAAAAGACGACTAAGGTGGGATATGATTGAGGTCTATATAATCATGACTGGTGTGGAGAAAGTAAATAAGGAAGTGTTATTTACTCCTTCTCATAACACAAGAACTAGGGGTAATTAATGAAATTAATAGGCAGCAGGTTTAAAACAAATAAAAGGAAGTATTTCTTCACACAATGCACAGCCAACCTGTGGAACTATTTGCCAGAGGATGTTGTGAAGGCGAAGACTATAACAGGGTTCACAAAAGAACTAGATAAATTCGTGGAGAATCGGTCCATCGATGGCTATTAGCCAGGATGGGCAGGAATTGTGTCCCTGGCCTCTGTTTGCCTGAAACTGGGAATGGGCAACAGGGGATGGATCACTTGATGATTACCTGTTCTGTTCATTCCCTCTGGGGCAACTGGCATTGACCACTGACAGACGACAGGATACTGGGCTAGATAGATCTTTGGTCTGACCCAGTATGGCTATTCTTATGTTCTTATAGACCTGTGCCTAAAGCCCCAGGTTCTGGAATCATTTGATTACAGGAGAATCACTTTTTTTATATATAAATAAAGGCAAAGAAAGAAAAGAGGGGGGAAAAAACCCCAATTCTAGCATTCATAGTTGCAAAGAAAAGCTTGAAAATGTGACTCAAGTGCAACTGATGTAGTGAAGTCTGCCTGAGTCTGCAGGTGGCTGAAACAATAGCTCTGAGACGTGTTAACAGCCTCATGCATCTGAACAGGGTGCTTACTCCAAGGGCCACAGCTGTGAGGAGTCATACCGATACTACCCTGTAAGGTGCTGGCTTCTCCCCAGTCCACAAAGGCCTCACTACCACACTCAGAGTATCTTTCCAGGCACAGTTTTATTTCCCAGATGTAGGCAAACAAATCCCAAAATAGTTCCTCAGCCCACTCTCGGCTACAACGCCCAGGGGATTTCCACCTTTGCCTTACTCAGACCCACCTCCTCCCGCTTCAGGGCCTGTTGCAAGATCCTTCTGTGCTCTTTTAACAGAGCACCACCCAGGAGGCTCTTCCCCCCTCCCCTGCCGGTTCCCACTGCCCCGCCTCCTGGGGGGCTCTGGCAGCCTTTCCCAGGGAACTTCCTGCTGCTCCTGCCCCCGCGCTTCCAGACAGCCTGGCTCTTTATGGCTGCAGGTGCTGCTCTCCCCTCCTAATTGGCTGAACTGGGAGACCCTGTTCTAGCACAGGGGAGCTAGGTCTGCTTCATTTATGCCACCCTGTGACCCTGACCAGGGCCAGCTCCAGGCACCAGCCAACCAAGCACATGCTTGGGGCGGCACCTTGTAAGGGGCGGCCAATCTTGGGGTGGCGGAGGGCGGTCGGGGTTCTTTTTTTTTTTTTTTGGTTCGGGGGGGGGGGGGTTGGGGGGTTTTTTTGTTTGTTTTTGTTTCAGCAGCGCAGCACCCGGGGTGTGTGTGTGTGTGTGTGTGTGTGTATGTATGTGTGTTTCGGCGGTGCAGCGCCCAGGGTGGCCCTTTTTTTTGTTTGTTTGGGGCGGCAAAAAAGTTAGAGCTGGCCCTGACCCTGACAGAGGACTCCACATGTGGGCCTTCCCCTCCCAGCTACTGGGAGCCCATTCTTTGCTTTTACCCCTATTCTCCCAAAGGGGGTCTTGCTGCCATTTCTGGGGGCGGGGGGAGAGAGAGAAGGAGTGGCCTTGCTGCTGCCTGCACCTCTCTAGCTAGCTACCAGGCAGTGGTGTTGTGTGGATGAATGAGTGCCTGCAAGCGGCAGAGAAATTCTCAGTTGGATGACACTATAAAAGCACAAACTATCCCAAATAGTGTTCAGAATTTTAAAAGGCTGTCTAGCCTGTTCTTTGCCGATGATGAGTTTGACCCAGCTGAAGCACAGACTTCCTTGCTGTTTCCTATTTTGCCTTGTAGATCTCTATTGGACAGCCCCAGAACTGCTCAGGATGGGGGAATTTCCGTTCCATGGGACCCAAAAGGGGGATGTCTACAGCTTTGCTATAATTATGAGGGAGCTGATTTATAACAATGAGGATGGCCCGTTCCAAGACCTGAACAAGGAAGCAGAAGGTAGAACTTTGTTCCTCTCTTTGTACTCCATTTCCAGATGGTCTTCCCTCTGTGAGCACATTTTTGTATCCTGGAGTTACCCTAAATGTAGTAGGTCTTCACTGCAAATAAAATATGTTTTAAAATTCAGATTAGCTGTGACCCGTGTTAGCTAACTGTGGTTAAAATAGCAGTGAAGACACAGCTAACTCAGGTTAGCAGGTAGCATTCAACCTCAGACTCCCGTATAGGTTTTAACCTGCGCTGCCATCTCTTTAATGTTATTTTAACCCAGATTAGCCAGAGCGGGTTAGCTATTCTGAGTTAGGAACACACCTTTAATTTGCAGAGTAGATGCACCCTTGGGATGCAAGAGACTTTTTGTACGCTGAATATTATGAATGAGTATAGGCAGATAATTGTATTGCGTAACTATCTGCTTGCTAAGGATAGACACCTTTGGTCTTTGGAGAGTCACACAGGCTTAACTGTATATATGTTTTAAGTGATTTTGCACCTTTGCCTAATAAAGCATAAGAATTTAGAACTTAATCTGAGCAAGAGTTCCATACTGGTTTCCTAACCTTGTATTGATTTCCTGTCACTATTTCTCATTGCTTCCCACATTATAAGAAAAAAAATCACAGTTGCTTTGTTTAGCTTTGATTCAAATACAGCAGCAGCTGTCTTCTCCCACAAACTCCTATAGTCCACATATAGTATCTCCTTGAGGTGCATTACTCATAGGAAAACCCATCTCTCTTGTTTGACCTTCTATCGATCTGAATAAATTCCATGTTGTCTATTCTGTTCAGATAATAGGGCTCTATATACCTTTTTATCTGACTTTATGTGCAAATTAAATGCATCACAGCAAAGTGAAGTGTAGTAATTGCTCAGCTGAACATAGTACCAATGAAAACACCACACCATTCACACTTTGGAGCTACTCAACAGCCTGCAGTATTATGGCATGTGCCAAGTTACTACAACTACACTCTGAAATCCCTGTATCTGAGGCCTGGTCTACACTACGGGGGGGGGGGGGGGATTGATCTAAGTTACGCAACTTCAGCTACGTAAATAACGTAGCTGAAGTCGACGTACTTAGACCTACTCACCGCAGTGAGAGTCGACTGCTGCCGCTCCCCCCGTGGACTTTGCCTGCGCCTCTCGCGGTGGTGGAATACAGAAGTCGAGGGGAGAGTGCTCGGGGGTCGATTTATCGCGTCTAGATTAGACGCGATAAATCAACCCCCGCTGGATCGATTGCTGCCCGCCGATCAGTGGGTAGTGTAGACATACCCTAAGAGGAGAGAGCATTAATCTATAGAGACAGATTTGGAGGCACAATTTTCCTCAGCACTCCAGGGTGTGTGAACACTGCCTGTGGGATGGTACGAACAGCTTCCTTCTTCTAATCTAGCCAGCTGTATGGGTCGCATAGAAGAAGCAGACCCTAAACTCATCCAGGTGAAAGACTGTGATTTGCTCTGACCCTTATGTGAGGTGCATAAGAGAAAGGGAATCTCCATGCAGTCTCTGTTTTTCCTCCTCTCAGATGCCTGCATTAAGGACCAGGACAATTTGCTCCAAAGTTAGGGACACTAAAATAATTAATAGACTCAAATCCTGATTGATCACATTTGCTAAATACAGAGATAATAAACCGACTCAGGGACCCAACTGTACTCGTCCCACTGCGGCCATCCCTGTCAACAGAGAAATGCAGTGAAAGGATCATTGCAATGCTTAGAACGTGTTGGGATGAAGATCCAGGGAGAAGGCCAACGTTCTCCTCTGTGAAGAGAGGGTTAAGAGATGCAAGCCCCGAAGGGTGAGTCTTTCTTATCTGTCTGAGAATGATACCAGATATACATTGTGCTTTTCATCCAGCAGGCTCCCAAAGTGTTTTATAGATGGCATCCATTACATAGGGATTACTCACACATCGCTGAAATGCAGCTGCATCAGAGATGGGATGTAGCAGCTGTTTAACAGCCCACAGCACCACTGCAGGATAGTTTAGAACAGGAAGATAAAGAGTTAGATTTTCCCAATATCTCACCTTTCTGACTATAAAGATAGTAAAGTTCTGGACTAGACTTCCAAGAGAGGTTGTGGAATCCCATCACTGGAGGTTGGACAAACACCTGTCAGGAACGGTCTAGATTACTTGGTTGTGTCTCATCACAAAGAGCTGGACTAGATGACCTCTCAAGGCCCTTCCAGTCCTACATTTCTGTCATTGTATGAATAATGTCCAGCTGAAACCACAGTTGAGGGGTGGGGTGGGGGTTAAATGGATGTAGTTAACTTGAAATCTAGTCAGGTTTTAAAAGAGTTTAAAGTTCTTTCCCAGAACTGTAGCTCCTCCCTGTCAATGGTTGCATTTTTGCAATCACATTTTTCCTAGTGGTGAAATGCTTTTCTTTCCTCTCTTGAGTGAAAGACTCACATGGTGGAAACTGTGGGCTATACAGAAGGAATCATTAAACTAATGATATGCGGAGTACTGTCAAAGTAGACTGAAAAAAAACAGGCATTTTATGCTCTAATCTTTTTCACATACAGTATCTTAAGTGTTACCAGTAATAAATATGTAAAAAACCAATCAGACAAAAATATATTTAAATTGATGGTATCTTTAAGTAGTTAGCATATAATTATCCACAACGGAATTTGGCCGGGATGCCAGGATACCACTTTGAGTCTTGTAAGGGACTTTGATTTGATGTTTCATCTGAAAATTGTCACTTCTGGCAGCACAGTGCTCCCAAAGACTATGCGGGGGCATTGGGTCAGTACTCACATTAACTGCAGCATGGATAGTCTCCATGGATATTTCTTATCCAAGTTAAATTATGAGATCTGATGACAGGCCCATAGTGGGGAGTAGCCAAGTATCAGAAGTCATTTCTCCCCCATGAACTCTAGATGCTAGAGGGGATCTTTGATGGAAATAGAAGTGGAATACAATTCCCATCAAAATTTTGTATTACACCTCTACCCTGATATAACGCGACCCGATATAACACGAATTCGGATATAACGCGGTAAAGCAGCGCTCTGGGGAGGAGAGGGGGGACGGATCAAAGCAAGTTCAATATAACACGGTTTCACCTATAACGCGGTAAGACTTTTTGGCTCCCGAGGACAGCGTTATATCTGGGTAGAGGTGTACTTAGTGCTATTATGTAAATTAAAAACAATATTTGTTTGAGCAATTCCATTAGCCACATCAGCATCTTGGATAACATGGTAAACAAACTGGAAAAGTATGCCAATCACTTGGAGGATGTGGTGGAAGAAAGGACAGCCCAGTTGGTGGCAGAGAAGAAAAAGACAGATAAACTTTTGTCAGCAATGTTGCCCAGGTAATCAAACAACTTTTGTACGTTCATAAGTTTGTCGACAATAGAATTTGGGGCAAGACAGAGCCTTTCATACTCAGTGTATCTCAGAATGCTTTGCAAAGTACTATTGTCACTTAAACACTGCTAGTACAGCCTCGGGCTCTAACTAATGAATGGTAATTAAGCAATGAATTATTATTATTCATTATATTGTGATAGTGCCTAGAAGCTCCAGTCAGGGACCAGGGGCCCATTGTGCTAGATGCTGTACAAACCTGGAACAAAAAGACTGTTCCCCCGAAGAGCTGACAGTCTAAGACAAAGGACTACAGCCGGGTACACCAGACATGAGGAGCAGTAGGAAACAATCAGACTGAACTGTTCAACATAAATTGTGGTCTAAGCTCCCTTACTCCTTGTCAAATATTTTGTAGGTATAGCCTGGATTCAGGCTAGCCAGCATCATTTTAAAATGCATTTAATGCCATCAACTTCTTGTGCTCCACTGACCTTCACCCTCACACACCTCTCTGGCAAGTGGCCACTTTTCTCTGTTGCACCCTCTTTCCCTCCAGTAGATGCTTTAATTTGGGGACCTTTTGCCAAAGTGGAAGCTGGTGTAAATCCAGATTGAATCTGGTTTGGGGATTTTTAAGGCAGGCTTAAAAGTGCTTTAAACAGGCCACTTGGTGTATTTCCCAAACACGCAGGACGTTAAGGCCAAATGGATTTATTCTGAGGTGGAGGGAGAGAGAGAGAGAGAGACATGAAGGAAATGATCACTTTCTCCTCCTGTCCCAGCTTCATCCGAGAGCAGCTCATCGCTGGGAAATCCGTGGAGCCTGAGAGTTTTGATTCTGTGACCATCTTCTTCTCAGATATTGTTGGGTTCACCAATTTGTGTTCTCTCAGCAATCCCCTGCAAGTGGTTAATCTCCTGAATGACCTGTACAGCCTGTTCGATAACATCATTAAAACATATGACGTATACAAGGTGAGATACGCTGCTCCCCGGGTTCTCAGGCAGCACAATTGCTGGGCCCAGTCCTGCAAGCAGTGTGTTTGCAGAACTTCTATCAAAGTCAAGGAAAGTTTCCTGGAGAGCGAGAGAGCACTCAGTCAGGCTCCCCAATCTGTAGTCACTTGCATCCAAAACCCATTAATATCACTGACCTGATATAGTTCCAATTGTTGGTGGTTGAGTGCAGTCAGTGGCAGAACCATGACTAGAATGTAGAAGTTCTTAACTCCTGGTTTTAAGCTTAGTCCACTAGTTTGCACTGTCTCACATATCTATTCAGGGACACCATCATAGCACCTAATCACATCAGCCACACTATCAGAGGCTCGTTCACCTGCATATCTACCAATATGATATATGCCATCATGTGCCAGCAATGCCCCTCTGCCATGTACATTGGCCAAACCGGATAGTCTCTATGCAAAAGAATAAATGGACACAAATCAAACGTCAAGAATTATAACATTCAAAAACCAGTCGGAGAACACTTCAACCTCCCTGGTCACTCAATTACAGACCTCAAAGTCGCAATACTCCAACAACAAAACTTCAAAACCAGACTCCAACGAGAAACTGCAGAACTGGAATTAATTTGCAAACTGGACAACCATCAAATTAGGCTTGAATAAAGACTGGGAGTGGATGGGTCATTACACAAAGTAAAACTTATTTCCCCATGCTAATTTTTTTCCCTACTGTTACTCACAGCTTCTTGTCAACTGTTGGAAATGGGCCATCCTGATTATCACTACAAAAGTTTTTTTTTCTCCTGCTGATAATAGCCCACCTTAATTGATGACTCTCGTTATAGTTGGTATGGCAACACCCATTTTTTCATGTCCTCTGTGTGTGTATATATCTTCCTACTGTATTTTCCACTGCATGCATCCGATGAAGTGGGTTTTAGGCCCACGAAAGCTTATGCTCAAATAAATGTGTTAGTCTCTAAGGTGCCACAAGGACTCCTTGTTGTTTTTGCGGATACAGACTAACACGGCTGCCCCTCTGAACTCTAATATGGGCTGCTATTTGCCCTGTGCCCCAGACACGTAACGTGCTGCCTAAGTGCTTGGTTTTCCTTGCTACAGGTTGAAACCATCGGAGATGCCTACATGGTTGCCAGTGGCCTTCCCATCCGCAATGGAATGAAGCACGTTGAGGAAATTGCTACAATGTCTTTGCACTTCCTCAGTGCAATGATCCCTTTCAAGATAGAGCACATGCCCGAAGAGAAGCTGAAGCTGCGGATTGGCATTAACACAGGTAAGTAGCCTGAGTCTCACCTGCTTCCGATACTGAGATTTGTTCTCGGTCCATATAAGTTGAGCCACAAATACATAATTCACATGTTTGCATCAATTCGTAATTCACCTCAGGATGAATCAAGCATCAGGTTAAGATGAGACCAGAGAGCATTTTTTAAGGGGGCTCATCCTCCAGTCCTAATTCAGCCAAAATTCCCCTCAACCTTAATTTGGAGTTTTGCCTGAGTAAAGAACTGGTGGCCAAATGTTTGTTTTAACCTTGGGTATGGGGTTCATCCTTAATTCATTGTAGCACATATTGAGCAGTTACAGCATGAGACAGAGAGATAGGAATTCTGGATTCTCTTCATACCTCAGCCATGACTTGCTGTCTGACGTTGACTACTTACATAACTGCTCTGTACCTCAGTCTCCCCATTAGGAGGCTGGCAATATTAACATTCAGTGTCCTTACAGATTGCTGGGGAGATTAATTAGTTCCTATTTTTAAGTGCTCTGAGATCCACGGTTGAAAGGTTCTATCGAGGTGTAGAACATTAATATAAGACATTCAGAAGCACTAACAGTGAGTGCTCTTTCCTGTGTTTGTAAATCACTGTGTAAATGTACAGTGCTATGCAAACATTTTACAATGATTATAGTAACGTTGGGCTTCTGCTTTAGTACTCATCTAAAGAATGACACCTCCATTCTTAATTGGTGCTTTCCATTTCCTATCCAAGCAATGCTGGCACAGCTTGGAGTCTATGCTGACAGAAGAGTTTGTGGGGAAACTCAATGCAGCATATACCAGCAAGATCATTTAGATGTACATTTCAGTGGTAGGACTCTTCCTGAAAAGATAATGCATGTATCCAAGGTCATCTCACAAATACTGGCCTAGAACTATAACATTACCTACCATTGGAGCTGTAATTTCTACAGCTGGGCAAAAATTTTCAGATGAATAGTTTATTTGCCGAAATATGCAGTTTCAGACAACATGAAACTTATTCGAAAAATTTGACACAAATTTGCCGAATAGTTTCATCTGCAAAAATGGAAGAGAAGGCCACGTCCCCTATAACTTTTTGGCCCAGTGTATGTAGGGCTGGGATGTTGGAGGCCTAGGTTCTCAAATTGACAGAGGTCAGGAAGAAATCTTCCTTATGGGCAGGTTATTACACAACTGCCTGCTGCTATAGAATGTTTTGAAACTTACTCTGAAGCATCTGGTACTGTTGGAGTCAGGATGTTGTTGTAGATGGACCGCTTGTCTCCTTTAGTATGACAGGAAAGCATAATCTCAACTATACATATAAAATGATGGGGTCTAAATTAGCTGTTACCACTCAAGAAAGAGATCTTGGAGTCATTGTGGATGGTTCTCTGAAAACATCCACTCAATGTGCAGCGGCAGTCAAAAAAGCGAACAGAATGTTGGGAATCATTAAGAAAGGGATAGATAATAAGACAGAAAATATCATGTTGCCGCTATATAAATCCATGGTGCGCCCACATCTTGAATACTGCATGCAGATGTGGTCGCCCCATCTCAAAAAAGATATCTTGGAATTAGAAAAGGTTCAGAAAAGGGCAACAAAAATGATTAGGGGTATGGAACGGCTTTCGTATGAGGAGAGATTAATAAGACTGGGACTTTTCAGCTTGGAAAAGAGATAGCTAAGGGGAGATATGATTGAGGTCTATAAAATCATGACTGGTGTACAGAAAGTAGATAAGGAAATGTTGTTTACTCCTTCTCATAACACAAGAACTAGGGGTCACCAAATGAAATTAATAGGGATCAGGTTTAAAACAAATAAAAGGAAGTATTTCTTCACACAACGCACAGTCAACCTGTGGAACTCCTTGCCAGAGGATGTTGTGAAGGCCAAGGCCATAACAGGGTTCAAAAAAGAACTAGATAAATTCATGGAGGATAGGTCCATCAATGGCTATTAGCCAGGATGGGCAGGAATGGTGTCCTTAGCCTCTGTTTGCTAGAAGCTGGGAATGAGTGACAGGGGATGGATCACTTGATGATTACCTGTTCTGTTCATTCACTCTGGGGCACTTGGCACTAGCCACTGACAGAAGGCAGGATACTGGGCTAGATGGACCTTTGGTCTGACCCAGCAGGGCCATTCTTATGACAATTTCCTTTCTCAGGGTGTTTCAGTGACAACTGCAAATGTTGGGGAAATAATTGTCTAAATATTTTGATCTTCATACATGTCTCGGTTCTAATGACACAACTAAGCATTTCTATGCTGTTTTAATAATCCCTAGCTCTTTTTCCTCCATTGATCATAAAGAGCCTTACAAAAGAGGTCAGTATTATTATCCCCATTTTACAGATGCGTAGTGAGATTGTGATTTGTCCAAGGTTACCCAGCAGGCCCCTGGCAGAGCTAGAGATTGTACACATATTAGTTTTTACAGCAACAGTCAGATTAGCTAGGGATTGTTGCCATGGTCGCAGTTGCGGAAACTGAGACAATAAGCCATGAGTTGTGCAAATCAAGAATGGAAGTTGGCATCAAAGCTGGGATTAAAATTTAGGAGTTGCACATACCCATGCTTGGGCTCCAGATAGGAGACTATGACACTCTTTCATTTAAACTGCTTCTCCAGTGCCTAGTTAGGAGTCCCAGTGCGGGGCAAAATTGCTTTGCATAACACTTTCTGTCTTGATAGCTTCATGGTTTGTGCTTTGTTTTGTACTTTAGGACCTGTTGTTGCAGGAGTGGTGGGAATCACAATGCCACGGTACTGCCTGTTTGGAGACACTGTCAATACAGCCTCAAGGATGGAAAGTACCAGTTTGCGTAGGTACCATTTACGACGAGTTTGCAGTCATCCTGCATGGAATTTTTTTTAACCACAAATAGAGGCAGTGTTACACTTAACCCGTTGTTAATTGACATTTTTTGTGTCAAACCTTTGCCATGCAGTGCTCTGATAACCCAGTTTGATGAACCCTGAGGGTTTCTTACATCTGAAATCATTGTTGTCAGCAGGAGCACCGCCAGCTTTTCTGCCGCCCTAGGTGGTGGAAGGTCCCGCCCCGAAATGCCGCCCCCCACAGAGGCGGCGGAAGGTCCCGCCGCCGAAATACCGCTGCGGTCGCTGCCCCCCAAATTGTAGCGCCCTAGGTGACTGCCTAGGTCTCCTAATGCGTTGCGCCGGCCCTGGTTGTCAGATAATAACAACTAGTTCTTACATGGTGCTTTTCATCAGCAGATCTCAGAGCGCTTTACAAAGGAGGTCAGGATCATGATCCTTATTTTACTGTGAGGGAAAGTGAGGGATGGAGAGGTGAAGTGACTTGCCCAAGGTCACCCAACTGGCCCGTGCCAGAGCCAGGACTAGAACCCAGGTCTCCTGAGTCCCAGTTCATTGCTCTGTCCACTGCTATCCACAGTGACAATGTTTCGTATTTCACAACCAGCTGGGATGTTCAGTCTTTGAAGAACAAAAATGAACATGGTGTTTTGTATGTTTGTTACTGCCCTCAGACACACATGACTGTGCCTCATAGACCCTATGCTGTTACATGGAGAGGTCTTTGCTTGCTCATTTCTTTCCCGCTGATGCCATGAAGCTCTGAATGACCGTATTGTGCAGCATAGGGACAATTGCGAAGACCTAGATAGCCATGGATGTTACAATACCAAATATGAAAAGAGAAAGTTTGAGGTTTATATAATAAGCACCGTGCTTTTGCCCTGGAGACCGTTTCTGACAAGTGACTTCATTTTAAATGGAGTCAGACTAAAGCCTAAATCTTAATTACAAATCCTTCTGAACAGGAGGAAAGATTCAGGCCAAAAATGAAACACAACCTTTAGGAAGCTAAACGTTAGGTTCTAAAGAGATTGATCCTGCCCCTTTAACGAGTTAATCCTCCCCAGCCAGCCAGTCATATACATTTATAAAATAAATAAATAGATTTATTTTGCTGTAGCTCTCCGAATCCATGTCTCCACAACCACTGCTAATGCCTTGCAATCCATCGGCGGGTATGACTTGCAAGAAAGAGGGACCATAACAGTAAAGGTATGAACATTGAGAATGCAGAATGGGAGCCTATCATGCCAAATAGGTAGATCTAATATATTCGACAGCATATGAAGGAATTTTCAAGGACGTACAATGTATGCAGAACATATGCTTTCCTGGATATGAACTGATGTTAATGCATCAGTGTAAAAACAAAACAACAAACATGTAGAGGTGTTCAGTACTATGGTGTGACTTAAATCAGACACTGCCATCATTTTGTATATGATAACCATCTGCCTAATATAGGACAGTACTTTGCAAACTAGAATGAAGCATTCCAGAAAAACAGGACTCAATGATGTGAAGTCTTTGTGCTTTCACAGCCCTTTCCATGTCTCACATCCTTGGATCCTGTGCATGGTTTCTACCTTGTCATGCTCTGTTGATATTACTATTCTTTATTGCTTATGTTGCTGGAGTGCCTTGAGGCCCCAGTAAGGGACCATGGCCCCATCATGCTAGCCACTGTACCAAGGTATAACCAAGAGATGCTTCCTGCTCCAAAGACCTTACAGCTAGAGCTTGCCAGAAGTTTTCCAATGGAACAGTTTCATTGGAAAATACCCATTTCTCAAACCTGAAATGTTTGACAAAAATGGTTTGAGTTCCAGGGTCCCTGGCTGGGGCCAGGGACCCTGGGCTTCCAAGTGGGCAACCCTAGGACCCAGCTGGTCAGGGAGTCTGGAAGGCCTGGGGTCTCCTGCCCCAAAGCAGTTCCTGTGGTGGGCTTGCCCCGCAGCTACAGACACTGGGAGTCCAGGCAGCTGCTGACTGAAATCAACATTCATGTCAATTTCATGAGCACAGTAGGAATTTCAGTCAATATCAGCCATGGTTTCAGGCAGGGCTGGTCTTAGAGGTGGGAAGTCAGGATGTCTGCCCTGAGCACTGACATTGAGGGGCACTGGATCATTGCACTTGGAGGTGCCAAATCCCTGGAGGCAGGGAGGGAGTTAGTTTGATTTTTGTTTTGTTTTTGGGGTTTTTTTTTTATTGCACCTTTTGAGTATGGGAGACACCGAAAATGTCTTCCGTCCTGGGTGACAGCACATCTAGGGGTGGCTCTGGTTCCAGGGAGCCCATTTCATTTTGAAAACGCCACATGACGATGTCTCCTTTCCCCAAGATTTCCAGTTTGGGGGAAACTTTGAACAATTTGGAACAAAACCAAATTCTGAAATACCAAATTATCCCACAATCCAGATATTCCTAGTTTGGGCCAACTCTACTTAAAATCAATGTGGGTCCCCCTCCCCTCCCCGATTTCTTTGTACAACTCCACTTTCACTTCTTTCTGTTATCAGGGAAAAGGAGAGCAAAGAACGTTTTGGTTAAAAGGAAAAGCTGACCTTCACTTGGCTCTCCCAGAGTTCAGTGACAAATGGTGAGGCCGTTTGAAGGAAACTTTGCAGGTAAGACAGTGATAAGGTTTCTGTAGGGAAGGTTGTTAAATCCGTATGCTGATAATGCAGTTATACAGTTCAAGGACTGGAGGAGTGATCTAACATGTGGGTCTATTGAAGCTACTCCACGTGGCATTGCCTCTTAGGAGGTATGTTTGTGCTGCAGCTGGGAGCGTGCCTCCCAGTCCAGGTAGACAGGCATGCACTAGTTCTGCTTGAGCTAGCAAGCTAAGAATACCAGCACATCATGGGCTAGACACCAGAGTACAAGCCCACCTGATCCCCTAGGTCCATACTAGGGTGGCTAGCCCGTGCTATACTGTCCACACATGCTAGTTTTAGCATGCTACCTTGAGCAAAGCAAGTGTTTGCCTGTCTGCTTGTGCTGGGAAACATGCAGTGTAGACGTATCCTTAATGAAATATAGGAGATTTGGGAGTCATTAACTTGACTCCTCGGGTGGTTTATATCAGTGTTGCTCCATTGACTGCAGTGGAATTACGCTGTTCAGGATCTGACCCTATTGTGTGTTATCCAAATATTCTCGTTCCGGCATGACAGTCTGAGTTCAACAGAGGCACAGCGGTGTAATGGCGTCGTGGTTCATGAGGACTGTGAATAACAATTCCTGGGCTATGAGATGGGATTATCACTTACAATAACATTTTCAAGCCACACTATTTTGGTTGTTAAATCTGAAAACAGCCAGTTATTCCTTGCCCATTAACTCTTATACTCACTTGAAACTCAATCCACCTGGGATCTATGCTGGCATAGAAGTGTAACCAAGTGTTTAGTGTGTATTAGTGTATTAGTGTGGCCAATCCACACAGCATCTGAGTCTCTTAAAGCTCCCAATTATAAGCCAGTACTTAAACTCAAGATGTAAAGGTTTTGGAGCTCCCTGGCTCAATCCCTGGTCATGACCAAAATGGCAGTTGTCACAGATGCACATGAAGAAATCTCCATTAAAGCCAATGGGAAGTTCTCCTTAAAAATCAATGGTAGGATATGACCTTTGGTACATAAGAAATAGAGGGAATTAAACCGGTCTTTGCACCACGTTATAGCGTATTCACTGGGTAAATTTCAATTCTGTCATAAACTGATGACATAAGCAAGGTGTATATGAGCAATTCATTTGGCCTACAGTCTTTCCCCTATGAGGATTATTTGGCTTGTTGCATTAAAACCTTGGCAAATCCTATATCTACCCCCAGGAGATGCCCTTTCAAAGCAGATGCAGTTCTATCTCTTCCTATTTATGTTCCCTTACTAGTTGATTAGAAGACAAGACAGAGAGTAAGTTGCAATGCTACGCAGTGTAATCTTTAAGAGGTGAGAGAAACATCTTCACCACTTGTAAGTTGATAATGCATTAATATGCATAGCCCACCAAAAACATCCTGGAAACAAAAAGCATATTATGCATTTCGAAAGCTTTATATAATTAGGAAGCAAAAAGATCAGGAAACATTTGCACCGCTGTGCTGTGGCACATCAAGAATTTGGAGATTGGCATTTTTTTCCCCCCAAGATATTTTTGCCTTTCGGTTGAGAAGTAAAACCCAAAAGGCCAGATTTTCTGGTCTGCAAAGGCCTTTTTGTGTGGCACCGATGGCTGCAAGTGACCACAAAACTAGAGAATGCCAGTGGAGAATCCACCCTGTTCAGGATAATTCTCTACTGGTGTACACCAGCCTTCCCCTCCCATCCAGAGTAAGGGGAATGAGAGAATGTGGGTGAGATGGGGCGAGGAAGAGGCATAGCAAAGCAGAGCCCTGCTACACCCAATCCTCTTCTGGTGTAAGGCCCATTATACCAAGCACAGGCAGCCTGGAAATGAGGGAGCCATTGCAGCTGTTAATCTCCATGATGGCTGAGGACAGCTCAGGGAATGAAGAATTAGGACCACCCTAAATTCCTAGGCTAGGGGGCTATGCAGTGTTATGCCACATTCCAACCAAGGGCAGACTGAGGTGAAATAATTCTTACAACGTGTTAAGAGCCCAGTCCTGAAGTGGCCAAACCTTTCTTAACTTCAATGAGCAAAACTCCCACACCCGGACTGCAGAATTGGAGCTACAGTTTTTGAATCCATTTGTAAAACATTTTGGGATCCTTCTGGAAGAAAATCACTGTCACAAGATGGGCTGGCCCTTTAAGGGATTTGGACTCAGCCCCACCTGTGCCTTGTCATCAGGACCCTGGTGATGAGTTTGGGCTTCAGCCAATGGTTGGGTCAGGTGACCAGGCATCATGTGATGGTAGCCCGTTGGCAGGGCTTCCTATAAGAGAAAGCCTGTTCCCTCAGAGAGAGGGAGGTCAGGAGCTAGGACAGACCTGGGAGAAAGCTCTCCAGACAAACCCAGAGGGGACCTAGCAGAGGTGCCCTGCTCAAAGGGATGCGGGGAGCTGAGAGCGAGCGAGCTGAGGTCCGAACCTCTGATATAAGGGAATCTGGGGAGAGGGCTGCAGGGATCTGGGGAGAGAGACCAAGGAAAAGGGCTTCCCTCACAGGGCCGGCTCTAGGCACCAGCAAAACAAGCTGGTGCTTGGGGCGGCACATTTTTAGGGGCAGCATGGCTGGCGCCAGAATGCCGCCCCTAAAAATGTGCCCCGGCCGCCCTAGCTCACCTCCGCTGCTGCTGCCACGGTGCGCGAAACAGCTGATTCGCGCGCCGCGGCGGCTTGGGGTCTCCCCCTCCCTCCCAGGCTCTCAAACCTGGGAGGGCGGGGGAGATCCCGAGCGGCCGTTTCGCGTGCCGCTGCTCCCCCTCCCTCCCAGGCTTGAGAGTCTGGGAGGGAGGGGGAGAAGCGGCGCCCGCGCCGTGGAAGCCCGGGGTCTCCCCCTCCCTCCCAGGTTCTCAAACCTGGGAGGGAGGGGGAGACTCCGAGTGGCCACGGCACGGGCGCCGCTTCTCCCCCTCCCTCCCTCCTAGGTTTGAGAGCCTGGGGGGAGGAGGCAGGGCTGGGGATTTGGGGAAGGGGAGGAGTTGAGGTGGGGCCGGGGGTGGGGTAATTAAAAAAATGGGGGGGGGGCAAAATTGTTTTTGCTTGGGGCGGCAAAAATCCTAGAGCCGGCCCTGTTCCCTCATCAGCGAGAGGAAAAGGCCTGGCTGGATCAACCTGCAGTTAGCGGCAGGAGCAGAAACCTCGAGAGATGTAACAGCTGTCAAAGGAAGAGGCTTGAGGAAACACTAGGCAGGGAGAGCTGGGTTTTTGGAAAGAAGCCCAGCGAGGGGCTTAAGGAACTGGAGTGGGGAGACAGGAGAAAGACTTGTTTTAGCTGCTATTATACATGTTGCTTTTTTATAATTGTGGTGATGTCTTAATAAACCCAGACCCCAAGAAGGGGTATTAATAGACTCACTGGGCGCAGTTTTTGAGAAACCCAAGAAGGGGAAACTGAGTCAGCAGCAGGGTTCCATGCTGGATCAGGCCTGACCGTTAGTCACCCATATAAAAGAAGTCCTCATCTCCTCTGCACTGAAAATTGAATCGTATTGTGCTACTTCTCCCCGTGGTTCTTGACACTTTGGATGACCATCACCTTCTCGTTGCAGTAGGAGGAACTCGTTGCTGGGGATATTGAACACAATATAAACTGAGGCCATTTGACTGGAACATGGAATGAATGGAAGCCTAATATCGTAGTTCAAACATTGCACTGATGAATGCAGAGACCTTCAGAACTAGAGTTCAAGACAAATGTCTTCCTGCCTCACCAACCACAGCAGACCCCAGTCTTCTCTCGTCTTGGAAGGTGATCTCTCGTAAAAGCGAAATAGATTGTTGTGAACAACATGGGCTAAAAATCTCTCACCACCAGCCACATTCCAGAATGAACCCTCAGATACTAGTAACGTAAACAGCAATTAAATGGGGAAATTAACCATGTGCAGTATGGAGATGAGCAAAATGAAAGTTAAGTGCACTTTCACTTCTCTGCATTACAGGCCCCATTAAATAATGTTACAGGTCTTTCCCTTGTAGGTTAGAACACTCCTGGATTCCCTGGGAATAGCAGCTGGGTCACCACTGCAGCCTGTACACACTGTTCCGGACTGGTTGAGTTGCCCCTTTGGGATAGGGACTGCCTTGGCTGAAACCTCCTAAGGATCTGTGTACCCAGTCACAAGCCCAAAGCCAAATCACTTCTGAACGTTGGGGATCCAAATTGGGATCAGGATCCAAACTTCGTAGCTTGTGTTATGACGACATGCAGCTGGTTGCGTGGGCTAGATCGGCAGCGGTTAATATCAGCTGGGCGGTCTGGCACTTAGACGCTTGGTTCCGCAACTGGCAGGGACTGTGGGAATTCTGTGATGCACTCAGCTCCTGGGAACACATGGGTGTGAGACTCACCTTGGTACAAAATGTGTAGTCAGTAGCAGCATTAATAAACCTATCAAGGGAGCTCAGTTCAGACATCCTACGCAAGGGTTGTGATACCAGACCTCCGATACAGGGATAGATAACCAACGTAGACCAAAGAACCTCCCTTTGGTGAAGGCGCAGGGTAGACCCAGAGCCAATACTGTCTAACCTTCACATTTCATGACATGAGCACATTAATCCCTTCTGGCATGGACAGGCGGAAAGCTTTAAGCAAGAAAGCAGCTGGGAGGAGTTGCTGAAACCTAGTGTTAGGGCAGGTGAGCAAATAAAGAAGGAAAAAAGCCACGTGAAACTTTTTTTTGAGTCAAGATGCTCTGTGAATCTCTAAAACGTTCAACAGGATCTGCTGTGGCCTAGGAAATATCTCAAAGCAGGAACATCTCATTGAAATGTCTTCCCATGGGCAGTTTTAATGATATGAACAGGCCTAAGTGAGGAAATCCATCCACCTAATGGAAACCCAACCTAGCTAGAACAATTTGTCTGGAGAGTGTGCACGATAGGCTCAAAAGGCTAAATACAGTCTGATCTGATACTATTATGTCAGAGGTCATCATGGTGGATTCTGTTTGTCACTTATTTCA